TCAATCCATCATATTCTGATGCATTTTTCCAACTATAACTCATTTTTAAAAATAGCTGTAAAAGATTTATAGTATGGAGGTTTGATAATTTATTCATACATTCCTCTACAGATAAGCAGCCTAGTGTTTTGCTTCATAAACAATGCTAAAATTAACATTCTTGTATTAAGATTCTTGTATATTTTTGTATACCTTGTAGTAATGATGCTATAGCTTCAGTAGGATAGATTCCTAAAAGTGAGATTGTCAGATTAAAGGATATGCCTAATTTAGTAGATACTGTTGGATCTTCCCAGTAAAGTCTGGGAAGGCCTGCATTTCTTCTCCTTGTTTAATCTTATTACTGCTAGAAGAAACGTGGACTGAAAGTATAGAAATACGGAGTTCTCAGGACACTTTACTAGTACAAACATCTATACAACCTGGCTCCCACCAGATGCTATCAGTGTTTAAAATTTTGCCCATCTCTGTTGAAACTATTCATCCAATGAGCACCAACTCAAAATGCACCGGATGCATAGTGTTTTTCTGAATTTTCTGGCAAAATTTCTGCCTCCATTGGTCTCGTTCAACGCTGTGGGAGGTCTTCCCCTAGACCCCAAGTATTGTACCTTTTAGTGAAGTGTGTGTGCATGCATAGTTTGTGTTCTCCCCTAGAGGTTGAAGAGACCATGCCTTCCTTCTACCTTTGTATCCTCTATTTGCCCAGCACAGTGATTTATACTCAATAAGTACTTCTTGTTGAACGAATTAGTGAATGAAATTCGGAAGTAAAGTCCAGAGCAGCAGATAGTAGCCAAATGCTGGAGTCTTTGTATTTCAGGCCAAAGAGCCTGGAATGTATTCAATGTTGATTCAGAAGCCACAGGAAGTGTCTGAACGGGGCCTGGAAAGACTAGAGTTGAGGCCGGGAGATTTAGTCATGAGGCTGAGACAAGACCTAGGGAGGAAGCAAACAGACCCCTAAACAATGATTGGAAGTTGAAGACGTAATTTTTACAGTGTGGTTTTTTTAGGATACTTTCTAAATTTAAGTTTAGGCAGTGGTCCTGAGCTTATGCAGTGTTTTGTTTTGTTTCAACTTTTGTACATATGGTAGAAAAATTAGAAAATATAGAGAAACAAGATTATAATCCTCAGTAATTCTACCATCCAGAGAAAATCATGAGTAGTTACCATTTTGGTGGAAATCTTTTCAACACCTTTTCCTATGCATATATGCAATAAAATATATTTTAATATGTAATGGATATATGAAATTTTTATTTTTTTAATCATTTTTCTTTATTATTATTTTATTATTATTTATTACCATTTGTTTTATTATTACATTTTCCTTATAAATTAAATATACTATATTTATATATTAAATACAAATTATATGTGTGTGTATATATATATATGCTTTTATGTTAGATAGAAAACATCATCTGTCTTCAATATTGTATCTTGAGGACCTGACACAGAATAAATACTCAATATATATAAATGACTGAATGATAACTATTCATTGTCTTTTGCCTTTATGTGGAGATTTTAATACTTTTGCTAATTCATACAGCAAATAAAGATGACTTATCTCTATAACTAATGCACTTCCTTTTCTTGTTTTATCTTATTACTACTAGAAAAAATGTGAATTTAAAATATATAGACATGGGCTCCTGGAGATATCTTATTGATACAAACAATACCTAGACATCTTTTTTTTTTTTGAAGGTTTTATTTATTTATTTGACAGAGAGAGAATGAGAGCACAGGCAGGGGTAGCTGCAGAGGGAGAGGGATAAGCAGGCTCCCAGGACCCTGGGGTCATGACCTGAGCTGAAGGCAGACACCTAACCAACTGAGTCACCCCGGCACCCCAATACCTAGACATTTTCTTTCTTTTTTTTTTTATTTAAGATTTTATTTATTTGACAGAGAGAGACACAGTGAGAGAGGGAACACAAGCAGGGGGAGTGGGAGAGGGAGAAGCAGGCTTTCTGCTGAGCAGGGAGCCCGACGTGGGGCTCGATTCCAGGACTCTGGGATCATGACCTGAGCCGAAGGCAGACGTGTAACGACTGAGCCACCCAGGCGCCCCTACCTAGACATTTTGTTAAGCAGTGATTTATAAACATAGCACTGATTTATCTGTACTTAGTCATCTTTGAAACATTTGAACATGAATTATTTGATCAAAAGTATTATTCACTAAGCAAACACCAATTTCTTCCCTTCCCAGATTCTAGGAAGGAGAAAAGCAAAAGAATGTTAAAAGAATGCTAATTTACAGAAAATCTTCTGGTTGATAAACCATTATGGACTCAGTACCTGTGCTCTGTGTACTCACTGCCTGATTCAGTGCCTGGAACAAAGTAGGTGAACCATAGGTATTTTTCAAATGAATAAATAGAAAAATAGTGAACATAGACATATTAATAATCTCTTTTAGCTCATATTTTCATTCCTTTTCCAAGTGGTATAGATTTTTAGTACTTGTTAGCCACTTTTTTCAAAAGATTTTATTTATTTGTCAGAGAAAGAGAGAGAGTGAGAGAGAGAGCACAAGCAGGGGAGCAGCAGAGGAAAAGGGAGAAGCAGACCCCCCAATAAGTAGGGAGCCCTACTCAGGACTCCATCCCAGAACCCTGGGATCATGACCTGAGCTGAAGGCAGACACTTAACCAACTGAACCACTCAGGCATTCCAAGCCACTTCTTAATTACCCATAAAAACTGGACACAGGTTCATATGGAAAAATTCTACATTTAATACAAAAATATATATTTAGCTGATAGTATTATTTTCCTTCCTTTGGAGTCTTGACTTCACTCCTCAGAATAATGAAGCAGCATCACTGGGTTTTATCTATTCTCCCTTTCTCATCAGAAAATAGGCCCAGAGGCAAGGGAAATTACGAGTATTGTGAACCCACATAAACAAGGGGGACTGGTAACTCATTCATGCTTATCTTTGTATTTCTTAAAAATAGGTCAAAAATTAGCTAAATCAAGATCTTTTCCTAGGTTAAAGGCTGCTGTAAGGACTACATTTTTCCAGTAGGTGGCAGTGTCTTCTTTCTTCAGCATAAGAATTCTTGAAAATTTGCCTTGTTTGTTGGGTTTGTTTTGTTTTTTAGTTTTACTATTCCTTCAGTAATATGCAGGTGACAATAAATAAGTTAATGAAACTGACATTTCTTTCACTTTCTTAACAAAAATCACCCTTGGCGATTTCAAAAGCCTCAGATGTGGAACTCGTACTTTGGCTTCCACTGATAACAAGGTAGATACCAGGGTAGACTGCTCTAACCCTCCTCCCCATTTCCTGATCGAAGTTATTACTAAGGACTAGCTAATGGATTGTAATGTCTTGGAGCAAATGATGACAAGACTTTCTGCCTCTCTAATAACAAAACAAAACTAAACTAAAACACAGACTTTAGAAGTCTCAATTTTAGGGAAAATATTCATTAAATTATGCAGATGCTTTTCCTGGCCGGTTAATAATGAACTTAAAAAATTACTCACATACCCTATTTTAATGATAACACCTAAACTTTTGCAGCTCCCCACAAGACTTTTTAATACCCCCAACAGAGAGTTAGGTGCTGTCACATGTCTGACACGAAGTAAACGGTGCAAAAACTAGGTTTGAGGAAGGAAGGCAGGATTGAAATTCCAGCGACATATGCTGGAGTTGAAAAACGGAAATGTTAATTAGTGGAATAATATCTCAAATACTTTATCTACAAAAATATTGTGTTAGCGGGAGTAGGGAAGGCTGGGTCTGAAGCGCGCATTTCACTGATTTCTCAGAAGTACTCTTTTATAAACAAAGCTTCAAGTTACTGGAGAGGGGCTCAGTATTTCACTGAAAACACGGAGATAGCCGGATTTGGCCATCAAGTCCACCCGTGAATATTCACCTGATAATAGAAGGTACAGCGATTTTTAGGGTTTAGGGGATTTTTAACCAATCCTCTACTTTCGAGACTAGCCGGCAGCACTCGTGCAGCCCACCCGGTGCCTCTCCACTCCCCGCCGCACCCCCCTATTCTCTCCCGCGCATGTGGACCTCTGACCCAGGCCCGGCCTGGGCCTCGCGCACTGTCCCGGTCCAGGTAAACTGCCCAGCCAGGGGACTCACGCGCGGACAGGTGGCCTCGCTTGCCTTCCTGCCGCCCAGGGCGGCGCTCTTCTCCACTCCGGGCCCGCGGCCACAGCCCGCGCGCCTAGCATAGCTCCCAGGCTGGCCCCAGAAGTCGGGCGGCTTCCCCAGGGGAGAGCGAGGCCCAAGAGGGGCGCCGGGTCGCCCGCGAGTCCGCCGACAAGAGCAAAGGGCCGCCAAGGCCAGAGCCCGGTGAGGGGTGATCAGGCCGGGCACTGATCGCGCCCCTCGGACGAGGGCCACATGGAGCCCAGCACCCACGCACGTCCAGCTCTGCGTACCGCCCCTCGGTTTCCTTCGCCCTTTGCTTCACGACCCCCGGAACCCGCCCACGCCCCCCCCCCCCCCGCGGCATTGACCCCGGGTCTCCACCGCCCGGGGGCCAAGCCGATCTGCTATCCCCCGGACCCCAGTAGGACCCAGGGGTCACCCGAGTCGGCGAACCACATTCCCAAGGACGAGCAGCCGGTGGCAGCACCGCCCCCTCTCAAGCGCCCTTCGGGTCCTCTACTGCCTGCACTCCCGCGGCTCTAGGGCCCCGACCTCTCCAGAACTCGCTGGCGGCCGGGGGAGGAATTCACTCGGACCCCTCCCCTTCCCCAAACTTCTTCCCTCTGCCGGGCGGTTCTTCCAACCCGACCCCTCTGCGCCATCCGGCTCCTCCCTCTCCGCTCCCCTCCCCTTTTCTGGTCCCCACTTAGGAATCTGCTCCCCCCCACCCCCGTCGCCGGCCGGGTCCGGGGATCCTCCCCCCGGCTCCCCCCCCGCGTGCCGCCGCCGCCGCCCGGGTTCCTCTCCCCCCTCTCGGGCGCTCCCTGCCAAGCCCATGATGTAATGGTGTATGTTAATCAGTAGCATGTGGGGAGCTCCGGCTCCGGCGGCTCAGTCCTCCCCGAGCCGACACTGGAGGCAGCAGCAGCGGCGGCGGCGGCGGCCCGGACCCGCAGCGCCGCACTCTCTCAGCGCCGCCCGCCCCGACGGCATGGCCCGCGGCCCACGCTCCGGGCGCCCGCAACCCCGCTGAGAGCCGCCGCGGCCCCCGACCCGCGCGTGGGGCCCCAAGCAGCCGGGATGAGCCGCGCCGAGGTGAGCGCCCCCACCCTTGAGACCCCGGGAGGGGACCCGCCGGTCACTGGGGGTCCCCTACCCGAGAGAGTTCCCCCTCTGCCCGAGAACTTCTGGGAGGCGGGAAGCCGGAGGCTGGCAGCGAGCGGCCCCTCAAGGGCTGAGCCGCTGGGCTCTTCTCTCCGCCCCTGGCGGCCACCCCGACAGGGATAGGATTGGGAGCCCCCGAAGCTGAACTTTCTTCTTTGCGGTCGTTGGGGGGCGTGTGCGGGCGGCATGGAGCCGCAGTCTCTGCGGAGCCGCCCTGCCCGCCGGGGGAAGCAGTGTTTGGGGCTCGGGCTGTCTCCGCGCTTGGCGCGCGCCCGGGGCCGTACCGTCTTCGGCCTGGGAAGCGCGAGCGAGGCGCTGGGCCGGCCGGACCCGCCCGTAGGCGGCGGCGGTCAGAGCAGAATGCCGAAAGCACACACGCTCGTACCCACCAACGCACACGCACGCACACATCTCATCGCTCTGGGCAAAGCAGGCCCTCGGAGACCTGCCGGGTGGGCTGGAGCGGCGCGGCGCGGCGCGGGGGAGCCAGGGCTCCGGCTGCGCCTCCGCCCGCTGGGCGCGGAGCTCTGGGTGGGGAGTTTATTTTTGTCTCGAGCTGCAGCCGCGGCTGCTCACGGCCTAAATCCAGAGGGGCGCCTGGCGGTGGAGATGCTGGCTGTTGCTGTAGATGGAGCTGCAGCCGCTCGGCTGCTTCCCTGGGAGGTGGTGGTGGAGGAGGAGGAGAGGAGGAGGAGGTATAGGAGGAGGAGGAGGAGGAGGAAGGAACTCGGGCGGCTGCTGCCTCCGCCTCTGTTTTGCGTTAGCCCCCACCCCCACCCCCGCGCCCCTTCGCAGCCGCATTGCAAGTTTTCCGCGCGAGGATCTGTTGCTGGTGCTGGCGTCTGCAGGCTCAGCCCTCGAGGCCACCCCGGGTGGGGCGTGTGGGGAGCACCGGCCGTTCGCAGCGGCAGCAACAGGAAGCCGTGCGGTCTCCTCCCGCACCTGGGAAGGAGGCTTCTGGCCATTCCCAGAACGGGAATAGCTCCTCTCGCGCATCCCGGTGCGGAGGGGGCCGCCGGAATTTGGGGGACCAAACCCTCCGCGGGGCGCACCCCCCCCCGCCCCCTCTGATGCACTCGTTTCCCGGGCGCGCTCTCTCGCTGGCCGAGGTCTCACTGCAGCCTTTCTCTCCTTCCAGTGGTGATCGCCGCTCGGGAATGCGGGTGTGAAGGGCCCGAGCTGCCGCCCAGCGGGGAAGAGACCCCGGGACGCCGGAAATCACCATCCCGAAGCTGCGAGAAGGGGGGGGAAGAGAGCATTCTTTCAGTTTGTGTGCCTTGTGGGGAATTTTTTTTTAATCGTTATTTTTTTTAAAAGAAACATTTCCGCGCTACTTTCTGTCATCATCTCTGGGGAAATCAGCCAGAACCACCGGAACGTAACTGAAACCAGACGAGAGAGGCAGGAGCCGAGGCAGTACCTGCAGCGTCCGGGCACCAGAGCCACCTTGGAACCGGAACGCGTCTCCGGCGGCCGCGGGGCTGCGGCTCCGCCAAACTTTGGGGCGGGCGGGGCGGGCTGGGGCGCCGAGGGGGCTTCGTAGACCGAGGGCCGCCCCCTAACCATGATGTTTCGCGACCAGGTCGGGGTGCTGGCGGGCTGGTTTAAGGGCTGGAACGAGTGCGAGCAGACTGTTGCGCTGCTGTCGCTGCTTAAGCGCGTGAGCCAGACCCAGGCCCGCTTCCTCCAGCTCTGCCTGGAGCACTCGCTGGCCGACTGCGCCGAGCTGCACGTCCTCGAAGGCGAGGCCAACAGCCCCGGTAAGTGCGCGGCTACGGCTGTCCCGCCTGTTCCCCCCTTCCTCCTTCCCCCACCCGCTCCTGTTTCCCAGCCTCCGGCCAGGGCCCCGCCCCCGGCCGCCTCTCGGCTCGTACACGGAGGGCGCGAGCCCGGGGCCCTTGGCACCTCACCCCCCCCCCCGCCCCCCCTTCCCTGCCGCCCACTTACCTCCGCTGGCCGCTTTGGGGTTTTGCCCACTGTCAACTCCTTCAGCCCATTCCGTGTGGTAGCCACGGTAGCATGAATGATTTTTCTCTCATGCAGTTTCCTGGGAAATAAGTAAGTCAGGTCACGTAGAGTCTGGATTTTTCTGTTTTTGGTTTTTTTTTTTCCTTCTTCTTCTTCTTCTTCTTTTGGGCAACGTGGCTTTCTGGATTTCAGCAACATATGAAGAAGCCGGACTGCCCTTCAGAAAGCCAAGCTTTGATTAGGCTGTATGAGGAATACATGGAAATTCAATTTTATTATTCATTTTTCCCCCATGGATATTCCAGTTTTAGAGCTCTGTCTTCAGACTAAGATGCAGGTGACACTACAGACTATTAAAATGATATTTGCAGTTTGTATTCTATGGGGTTATATTTATCAATCACGACCTTATCGTACTGACACGGATCTTGTAGAAAGGATCTTATAGAAAGGGTCTCGGTGGAGAGCAGGCATATGAATCAAGGTCCGTAATGCTTTTTGTTGGAAAACTTCACTGAATGTAACAGAATTGTTTCATATTACTCTGCTAGTAGTTACAGACATCTCAACTAGTATAGAAAGTGAATATACTGGGAAGGTTCCGCAGTTTTCTATTTGCTAGCATGTGTGGTGACAGACTGAAATTATATCCTGGAGTGGGGAGGTGGGGGTGAGGTTGGGGGATGGGGAAAGGTCTGTTGGTTGTAATTTTGGATAGGGGAAATTCTTTAGTTCATGCTGCAGCAGGAGGGTGAACAGAGCCCCCAGTGTTTAGGCAGAGAAAAGAATGCAGGGTCCTCTTCCAGCTGTTCCATGTTAAAGCTGCCAGGCTGCAAGACTCAGCAGAGGTCTGGGCTGCCATTTGATGACACGGTCCAGTCCAGGGCGGCAGGGCCTGGGAGACACTAAAGTGAGTGCGTGTGAGTTGGTCCGGGGGTTGTGGGTTATTGTTAAGCTGTTTAAAGTGAGTGCGTGTGCCTTCAGGGCAGCAAGAGGAGAGCAGGCCTCCTCCTTACTCCTCCTCCCCGGTGTGGTGCTCTTGAGGCTGAAAACCCTTGGATGGGATGTTTCCATATATAGAATCATAGGCTGGAAGTCAGCCGGGAAATCCTTACAGCCCTTTTCCTGACCAGACAGGACCGAACCCAGAGGTCCCTGTGCTGCCAAGTGTGGAAGGCCACACTGAGAGAGATCACACAGGCCCCACTGGGATTCAGCCCGAGCCCAAACAGCCCATCCGGTTACTCATAGGGGTGGCAGGGGCAGGGCCCTTTCTGTTCAGTTCCACATTTATAAATAGCTGAAGGGCCAGCCTCCTTCATAAGGGTGTGGAAGCATAACTTGGAAAAGCCATGATCTACTCTCTTGACTCCTGTCCTTGATATGACAGGGTAGCCTGGTTCAGCTGCTTGATTTTGTTTTCTCAGGTTTGACAAGCAAGGTTATGTAAACTTTCGTGTGTTATAGAATGCAGAGGATTTCAGTATAGTAATTGATGTTGAATGCTTGACTTCACTGCTTGTAGGGACTATTTCAAATAATGATAATTAATCTTTAGGCGACTCAAGTGTTAGAGCAACATTTTTGCCCTTTGAGTTAAAGGAGACTTTTCCCCACGTAGCAACAGTTCAGTAAGTGAAAGCATTCAGTGTGTGGTGTAAAAAGTTGCTTACTTTAAAAACTTTGCCATTTAATAAACCAAGAAAAAAATGAACTTCTCTGAGTTTTTAAAACTCACTTGGTAATTCCTCTCCCCACCCCTCCAAATTTTATTTTACTACACTTATTTGTGTAAGCCCACCTGCTCATGCTGCCAAATGCTGTAGAGGTACCAAATCTAGAGCCATTATGTAAGACAGGGACCATTTTCCAGTTTCTGAATTAATCATTCAACCTGGAGATTTTGCTTCCTTGGAAAACTTTGCACTTGTTTTGTTGTGTGGCCAGGACAGAAATTGTGTGATGGCTCAGTTTACTTCTATATGGGGATCATAAAGAGCATCAAGATGTGTCATGGTCTATCCATGTCTGGAATATGGCTCTCTCACGTATCTGGAACCTAGCCAAGAACAAGGAAAGGGGCAGAAATGCCCACTCAGCAATCAGAACAGAGGACAGAAAATGTGGGAGACTACTTCAAACCCTTTCTCAGAACATACTTACTTTAGACAACAATCCTAACATTTTTTTTAATGTGAAAAATAATCCATAGCATATTAGGGGTAGCACCTTTAGAATGGGAGGAGGGGCTGCTCTAGCCAGCAGTGCAAGGTGACCCCAGACAGCTTGGCAACCGGGAAAGAGATAGAAACATTCTAACTTTAGACACAAGAATTGGGAGCAGAAGCTCTAAAGTTTGGGAATGTGAGGATAGGAGCCCTCAACTGATCTTGCAGGCATTACTCTGTAATAATGTAAATCAATGATTACCGTTTACCATGAATGAGAGTGAACTACCAAAAAGGGTACGTTTTTAAATACACTCTTTGAGAAGAGAGGGAAATAGGCCATAAACTTTGACTATATTGGCATTCAAGATAATTAACCTCCAAGGCGGTTTTGGTGTGTAAAGCTCTTACCCATTCAGAAAACTAGGCTGTGTAGAATGACTCATTCATTGGCTGGCTGAGGTTTCCTATACCAAAAGCATCATGTATCACTTACTTTACTTTGTAATCATCAATTAAAAAACACATATTTCTTCTGGTGTTGAGAGATTTTTAAACCTTGGTGAATGGGAACCAAATTCATATCTGAGGCATGATCTCAGCATAATAAAAAAATTAATTAGTCATAGTATGAACTTGGCTCTGTTTTCTCCAGGACTGACTTTAAATAGAGAGAGATAATTTTTCACATTAAACATGGTTTGTTTGAGATCTGTGGGATGTATTTTGATACTAACATTTTAGTCTCTTAAATTTAGCATTTATTGAGAATTTAGTGGTTCACTGGTTTATCCTTTGCCTCAGGTTCATGGTCATCTGAGATCCAAAAAAATGGTTGAGTCAATCCCTATGGGTGTGTGTGTGTGTGCGTGTGTGTGTGTGTATGTGTGTGTTTCCCTCTAGATTTGGTCAATGGGTATTGCTAATGGTCAGCTTTCTAAGTAGAGGCTGATTTCCAGAACCCTCAAATCCTAGATTAGTGCACTTTAGCCACCAGCCCAGATTAACCTTGAGACTTCTGGCCAGTCTCAGTTTGTAGGTTAGTGTTTCTGAGGCTAATAGGTCCTTTGATGCATAAAAATGGCAAAAATGGAACCCACTGACTTTATTTGCAGTTTCCTAAAGAGAAATAGGTTGTGTGGCATTGTTTGTTCATGACTTTTGTCATTTGGACTAGAAATATGTTTTGCAATGGAAACAGTGTAACAAATGAAGGTTCACAAGTACGATCCATAAACACAAAACAGTGCATACTTTCTGGGGCAATTGTATATGTTTGTAGTAAATAAATGGCAAAAAGATTGTTGCTTTACTTATAATTTAAATATAAGAGAAAAGATTATCTGAAATGGCAGTGCTTGAGACAGAGACAATTGTGGAAATTGAAAAAGGACCTCTGTACATATTTACTTTCATTAGAGGGTGAAGATGATGATTCTGTGATTTTTATGGTGTTTGGTTTCCATAGTGTAGGTATGCTGTACCCTGACTTGCTTTTTTAGATCACAAATGGAGTCAAAGGAAAGCAGAAGGATCGAGATTTTCCTGATGATACTGGAGAAGATCTTGTGTGTAGTTCCTCCTTTCACTTATTCATTCAGCATTCATTTTCTGACTGCCTACTGCTCTCCTGCCCCTGTGTAATGCAGTGGGGAACACAGAGGTACCTTACTATATTCCAGAGCTTGGTCCATAGATACCCAGTGTTGAGTAAATGACTAATACAGTATCACAGGTGCTGAAGCATAGATATGGGAATAAAAAGGGGTGGAGGGAGGGCTTCTGGGAGCATTGTGAACCTAGCAGCTAATTGTCTGGGGGAGTCAGAGAACATTTTACTGGGGAGGAGATATGTTTGAGTTGAATTTTGAAAGGTAAATAGGAGTTGGTTCAATATGTCCAAAGGATTGTAGAGAGTAGGCTTGAAGGCATTTTTCTTTTTTTTATTTTGAAGATTTTATTTATTTATCTGAGAGAGAGAGAGAGCACAAGTAGGCAAAGAGGCAGTCAGAGGGAGAGGGAGAAGCAGGCTCTCCACTAAGCAGGGAGCCCAACGTGGGACTCGATCCCAGGACAGGACCCTGGGATCATGACCTGAGCCGAAGGCAGACGCTTAATCAACTGAGCCACCCAGACGCTCCATGAAGGCATTTTTCAAGCAGAAGGGATAGCTTTGATAAAAATGTTGCCTTGTTAAAGGGTCTGTGCAGGAAATAGTGAGTTCAGAGTGGCTAGAAGAGTACAGTGAGTTCAGAGTGGCTAGAAGAGTACAGAATGCTGACCTCTAAGAGGCTGAAGTTAAAACAGAAGCTGTGGGTGTGCGGGATTTTGCCAGCTAAGGTGTTTGGACTCAGTCCTGCAGAGATGATAGAAAACCCAAGAAGGCTTTTAGGAAAGGAGTTAAAAGATGGAAGGTGTGTGTGTATGTGTGTGTGTGTGTGTATTTGTACACTTTTGGGAAAGAGCTTCTAGTATTTGCATGATCCTCTGAGAGGCAAAAATGGGAGAAGTGAGGTAAAGTTTGGTTCATTTCAGTTTCCATTTTGGTCACGTGGTGGCATCATCAGCTCCGGGCAGCTTTGTTGCTCTCAGCACTGATCTGTGGGGGAGAAGAAAGGATTGATGTGGAGAAGAAAAGAAGGTATTGTCCAGGTGGGCATTTATTTATATCCATAGGAGGGCATATGTTGTAAAGGATTCTTAGAATATGGATTTGAAATCAGAGTGGGCTGGTCAATTAATTTCTGAGCCTCAGTTTTCTCATTTGTAAAATGGAGCTAATAAAACCTTGTTATTGTCCAGAAGTTACTTGTTAATAATCCAGTGAGGACCTCTTCTAACCCTCAGGCTTAAAATTGCTTCTAATTTATGTGGACTTGCCTCTAATGAATGTGCAGTTGATACAAATAATGTTTTTGTAGATGACAGGAACTCTTCTATTCTAAAGGATTATCAAGAAGAGAGTGGAGATGACTTGACCCCCTGAAAAGATACAAGTCTGCCTCACTCCATCTTCTGCACGTCAGCTTTCTTCCATTCTTCATCATGTTGGGTCCTAAAAAAATTCAGTCGTGGCCCACTGTTCCTACGTAACTTGTCAACACTTTTTTTCCCTTCAGTTGGTAAATGCGAAAAGCAGAAGTCATTTTGTTGAACAAAATGTATAAGGACTTTATAGCTGAAGTACTTTCCACTTAAGGTGTCATTTTCTGTAGGTCAGTCCAGCATGACGGATGGCAGGTCATGCACATTTATGCCCTCTGTTGTGAAGAACTTGGATTTGGTTGTTTAGCTTGGGTGCTCAAGGGCTTCAGCAACTGAGTATGTGTTATAAACAGGTCCCGTGAAAGTGAGTAAGAGGCAGACAAACTTAACAGCAATCCAGTTGGTTTGTTTACGTTTCAATAAACAAAGCAGGGTGAAATGAGGGTCACAAGGACTTGAGAAGTAGCCAGAAACTTCCCAGTATATCCTGCACAGGTGTGAATCTAAAGAGAAGTGTGACAACACCAGAAAATACCTCTCTTCCTTGATCCGAAGAGAAATTTGGAGGTTTGCATCTCTGAGTGAACGGCTCTATATAACTCACCTGCTAGGAAAGGTGTGGCGCTCTCTTTCTTTTTTAAATACAGCTATTGCTTTGAGTTTTAGCCGGTTCCTTCCTTTCCCTTCCTCCTAATCATTCCTTCCAAGGCCTTCCTGAGTTCCACCAGTTCTCATAGATTAGGATGCAGAATCAGATGTCTCCTCTGAGCTATTTTTTGATTCTGTGGAAGCTGCCTGAGGCAGGAATCTCCCAAAGAAGGCAGAACTTGCAGAATGAGAGCCGAGCTTTCCCTCTCAGTGAGCTAGTCCGAGGCCAGGGCCTTGTTCTGAAGCCTGTATTCCAAAAGCTGGCGTAGGCTTTGGGACGCAATCGCTTGCTTTTATGCAGGAGCTCGTGACTCTGTGGGATTCCTAAGCTAGTTGTAGGGATTTGCTCCCACTCCACATAGCAACATTGTAATACAGTTTTCCTCATCTTGGTTTACTAGGGAAAAAAAAATCAATCAAATGATTCAGTGGGTTTTTTTTACACAGTAGGCGATACCATCAACTGGTACCTGGCAAAGAGTACTGGGTAAGAAATCGTGGTACCCAGTTCCTCATGACATATTCATTCACCAACTACCCGAGCAGAGAGGGAGGTCCATGTCAAAAGGTGAGTAGGTGTAATGATTCTTCTCAAGGAACTCACACTTGAGTTGTGGAGGTAAAACAAACATCAATATATATAATGGTTAGACCATAACCAGTTACTGAATACCGGGGTTCCCACGAGAGAACAGACCTGGAGCTGAATGGAAGGGAGAGAACAGGATGGGCTGGGTAGTGCAAGAAATTATGAGTGGAAGGAGTAAACCTGAATGTGTCTTTTGAATAAGCGCTTTAAGGCTCACACACTCCTTGCTTTTGTAGTATCTCTAACGCAGTTTTATTAAGGAAACCACACATATAGGGGGATTCTGTGCTTGAGCCATGAAAGGGGCAGGCTTCCTGGGCCTTTGAAGGATGAGTATGAGTACATTAGAGGTAGGGGAGCATGATGCCCGTTGTTCATCAGGAATGAATTCCTGGATGGAAGGAGTAATCCAAATACTTCTGTGATTTCTAACATTTAAAGGTAGGAAAATGAAACACCTGCTCAGCTAATATTTTTATCCCTAAAATTACCCATAAAATTATGAGACTTAGTAGTAGTTCTCTTGGCTCCTCCTAGCAGGATACTTTTATATGTTACTTGGATCAGAACACCTGTTCTTTTGAACAGGTGTAGGAAGAGACAAAAGTGACTTGGACTAGTTCTCAAAATATAATGTGCTCACAAATGGCTTGGGGATCTTTTTAAACAGAAAGCTCTGATTGAGGAGGTCTGTGTTTGGGATAAGGCCCAAGGTGATGGCTGCAGCTGCTTCAGGTCTGTGGACCACTCTTTGAGTGGGAAGATCGTAGACTTATTAGAGGTGGAAGGTTATTTAGAGGTAATTGGTGCACTGGCATTCAAGTGTTATGGATGTGTATCAGAAGATTTTTGTTTGCTACAAATGAAACTTCACATGAAAGCTTATGGGAAGTGGATGCCCCTCCCCTTTCCCACCTCCAACCCTAACTCCAAGGAAAGCAGTTTGAAGATCATCTCTGTCCAAGCACTGTGATTTCTTCCCCTGGCTCAGAGGCATTCGAACCATCTCTTCCAGCCCGAGATGAGTCTGGGTTTGAGGAAAGCAGCGCTGGGCTCTGTTGTAGCATTTCCCTGAGCTTTTTTGAGGTGCCCCTGCTGGAATTTCTAGGCATTCTAATGATCAGTGTCCCATGGAAAATGAGGCTCCAGGAGAGATTCGTTTTTTGCTGATGCTATGGGCTGTAAAGTGGAGCTGGAGAGAGCAGGAGTGTTAATTCCAGAGACCGGATGGGAGAGATCTCTTCCTACTTCCCCAGCGCTCTCCCATACAGCACAATCATCGGAATTTCTGAGGCAGCTCATCCTGATCTGTCAGTAGAAGTCAAGTGTTTGTGTGTGCAGCATAAATACATAGAGAACATTGACTTTCATTGTATACATTTCTGTGTGAGGATGTGCGCCCAATATGTGATGGAAATGTGTGACTAAAATGGTAATGCTGAACCCTCCCGAATTTCTGAAGAGCCGTAAAGGAATAGGGGAATCAGGACAACCTCGAGAAATAACATTGTCTCTGTTTGTAAAAGAAGAAAGCAGGGAGAAAGTAGGTTCTGTGCAGGGTCCTGTGAAGTTAACACTAATCTGGTGTCAGATACCAGAAGAGTAATTGAAACTTGATTTGAGAGCCTTTGGATGAGGAAATAGGAAGTGGCCTTGTTTTCCTAAGAAGGGAAAGAATGGGTCGTGGAGAACGAATGTCATTTCCTTTTTGATGGGAGAAGGGGAAAGGAATCGAGATAGCATAGAAGAGACTTCTATGTTCTGGGCAGATCACAGGAATTCTGGTAGCCATCCCCTATCTGAATTTTAGCACAGCCTTTGGCAAATCCCCTTGTTTCCTGCTGAATAAAATGGAGACGTGGAGGCTGGATCAGAGTCTAGCTATGTGCCTTCGAGTGGCTTCACTGACAGGCAGGCCTCGCTCCGGCCTCTGTCAGCCTTAAGGGGGGACTCTGGTGCTCTTCCTCAGAGCTCACATGTTCTAGCTACCTCATTATTCGTGTTGACGTGTGACTTAGCCTGGGGTCCCCAAGAAAGCAGAGCCCTAGGCAGGGGCTGGTGTTCAGGTAGTTTATGGAGAGCACTGATCCCGGGGACAGGAGAGGGTACTGCAGAGAGAAACGGAAGGAAGGAAAGCCAACACAGGATTACGTTATCCACCTTCACCGCCACTGAGCGTGCCTCAGAAGGGATAGACAGGCGGCATTTATCCATGGCTCCGCTCTCCCCTTGGTCAAGGGCTGCCCCAGGGTACCATGTTTCTGCACTACCCGGTTTGCACGTTGTGAGTGCTCAGCCTTGTCCAGGGTCCCGCACTGTGGTGTCAGAGAAGCCACAAGGCAGAAAGCTAGAGAGAAGTGGTACAACAGGCACGGTGGTGTCAGGTTATACCTGCCCAAGGCTGGTGGCTACAGCCAGGACTAGAGTGTAAACCCTGCTGAGAAGGTGCAGTTCTCAAATGCACAGATGAACCTCGGGGGATAGCTGGGGGCCTGATGACAGATTCGTGAGCCACATCCTTGAATATAACAGGATGACTGTTAAATCGCCGTAAGCAGAGCCCCTACATTTGTATCCCCTAGACCCCAGCTGGAAGGGGCACGGCCCCGCAGTAGCGTGCAGGAAAAGGACTTCTGGCTTTTAGTAGACTTAGAGTTTAGAAGGAATAATGACATGATGCGGTTGCCCCCAAAGCCACTAGACCTTTAATAATACATTATATGTATAATATAGTATATAATAATATTGTCTTCAGAAATAGGTCTTCTCTGCCGGCCAGGCTGCCCCTTGAGTCCGGGGAGCAGTTCTGGTGCACACTTTGAGGGAGATGGACAGGTGAGGATGTGGCCAGAGGAAAGAGGATGGTGGGGCCCTTGAAGAACCAGGGGAACATTTAGGCTGGAGAAAAAGGTACGCAGAGAACGTGACAGCTGTCATTGGTCCCTTGAAAATCTGGCTTGGAGTTGAGGGCTTTAATTCCGTATCTGTGTAGAGGATAGTATATAGAAGCTGAAGTTCCTTTAGCTCAAAGTAAAGAAGAACTTTATGATGGTTAGAGCTCCCAGACAGTGGCTTAAGCTGCCATAGGAGGCAGTGGCTGGGCTTTCACCAGGGGTGGGCGAGCATTCAGAACAGTGCTGGGCACCGAATAATGCTTCTCAATAAGACCGGCTCCTGGTTACCGAGTGCCTGCACATTACTGAATTCTTTGCATCCATTATCCCATGTATGCGTCCCAACAACCCTATGAAATGAGATAGGAACTGTCATTATTCCATTGGTCCTAGAGGAGACAAGCAGTCTGACTTCCAGACTATTCCACGTGCTTCCTCACTGTAGGGACCCTGTGGGTTTCTTTAAAAAAAGAAACTGTGACCTCTTCGATGATCTCCAAAGTCTCTTCTAACCTTATTCTATGGCTTAGGTGAATCAGGAATAAAGATAAGAAAACAAAGCTGTTGGGACCAGAGGAGAAAGGGAGAGAGATAATGAGTGAATGAAGAAGGGTGGTCTTAAAAGTCTTCTTCAGATTCTTTCCGGTGGATTCCTTCTCTACCTCTTGGCCTGTTGGTGCCCCCGATTTGTGGCTTTTGTTTAAGAAATACGTAGAGTGATTTTCTCTTCTTTTTTGAAGTAGGCAGTGAGGTGAGGTTGGATCACCATGATGAGTAGGGCCACCCTGTTTAAGAAAAGATGTAACGAACTGAATTGATCTCGTTTCTTTAGAGTCAGACAAGAACAGTGATAAAGCCCTGAGAGTGTCAGTTATTTATTAGCAAAGGTAACTCATAATTGCGATCTCTATCTCCAAATCTTTTTTTGTTTTTTTCTGTGTGGTTCTAAAAGTGACCATACGATATATTCTTTGTAGGGTAATAGCTACCTTTTCTTTCTTTTAAAAAATTTTTAAAAAGACTTTATTTATTTGAGAGAGAGAGAGGTTGAGAGAACAAGTGGGAGGAGGGACAGAGGGAAGAGCTGGCTCTCTGCTAAGCAGGGAGCCTGATGCGGGGCTCAGTCCCAGGACCCTGAGATCACGACCTGAGCTGAAGGCAGAGCTTAACTGACTGAGCCACCTGGCGCCCCTCTTTCTTTTTTTAAAAAGCACTTTCTATGTGTCGGGCACTGTGCAGATAGCTACACATATACACAACTGTTATCTCCAGTTATTGAACAGATGAATGATACAAAGAAGCAGAACTAATGGTTGTAAAAATTAAATATACTATATTGTAGTAATTAGATAATGTACTTATGACCCAGAGTTTAGCACATAGTAAGTGCTTATTAACTGGTTTCAAAATGTAAATCCACAAAGCAGATCTTATCTCCATTTTCTGGATGAGGGAGCTTAGGTTGAGAGCGGTTGGAAAGGTAACTAAGGTCCCTGAGTTGTTTCTGATCCAAAAGCCTGTATTGAGTCCTCACCACCACCTGAATGCTGCAGGGCTCTTCCAGTTCTTAGGTAAATAAAAATGTTGGCGGTTAAATGAAAAGTACGTAAGGATGTTTAATGATAATTTTAATAGGTTTCTCTCTGACATTTTAGAAATCTAATCTTGGAAGAATTCTTTTTGGCTTGTCCATTTTAATCCTATGTAGCTTGATATGGCTTGGCCTCTTCTTTCCATTGGCTTTTTTTTTTTTTTTTAATTAGTGAAAAGCATCGATTCATACATTTCCCTTTCTTTAAGGAAGACTTGTGGAACGGAGGCTTCTGCCGCCTGTGCATGAACGGGCAGGACTTGGGGAGGGAAACAGGCTCTGCCGGCTGCGGAGAGGAAAGAATGAGGAATGTGTTATCTAATAGCTCATGGCATCCTTGACGTTGACAAACTAGCAATTGATGAGCTGGATCAGGATCTCCTTAGGATCTGGAATTGGGCAAAGCACCAACTTGAGGGCTCTAAGTTAAAACAAGCTCTCCCATTGTTTGTAAATGGTAGAAAATTTCTGAAGATTAGTTTAGGAAAACATATGTTAACAGTTGGTATAAGAGTGAATCCTGCTTATTTCATTTTCTAATAGCCTGAAATTCAGGAGGTGGGACAGACTTTATCTATGGCAGCCCCTCTGTTGAAGATTTGGAAAGACTGAGGTCAGCTGGGGGTACCTGCCAGTGGGGAAGGTCTGCTGTTACCCTCGGTCACTTTCCGACCGTCGATGACCTAGACCTCGGTATCGTGCCATTTTCCTGTGGCTGCCACGGTCACCCCATTCAAGGATTATTTGATGCTCTCTTTACCTGAGTGTCAAAGGCTATTCATCAGGTTGGTCTCCTCGAAGTCATGTCCATAACCCCCTCCTTTTCGTTTCTTTACTCACAGTAAAGCACAGATTTGTTTTTATTGGAAGATGGCTGGTATTCGTATTTTGAAATACCAAAGAGTTACAGTGTAGAAAGGTTTGGCTTTATTTTAGCATCATCACAGTTCCATAACGTCCTCTTGGGGAATCTGACTTGGCCACTCTGGAGTCACTCTAAATCCCAGCAGAAAGCTAAGTGTTGTTCATGACTGTCCCCATGCCTACGGGAGGGATTTCATTCACTGGTTGGTGAAGCGTTCCTTTGCATGGTGCTGTGGTGGACCAAGCACAACTCCTCCTGAGGGTGTCCCCCGACCCCTTACGGCTTGCTGGCACCCTGCGGGTACCTCTTTTACCCCACCAGTCACAGGGGGTTGCCATCATCCACCTTCCAGGCTAGGCTGCGTCTTCCTCACTTTCCTCCGCCAGCACTTAATAGTGTGCATGGCACCTAGGTGGTCTCAGTATGTGTTTGTTGAAAGAATGGTGAATGAGTACAAAGAAATTGAACTCCTAGCCCTAGTCCACAAGGGGTTTACATCTTGGTTGTGAGAAAAACCTAACTGCAAAAAGATTTAATCATAAAGTAGGACGTGATGATAATCCCAGTGCTGTTACCAAGAGGTATGTGATGAAGACCAGAGGAGATGAGAGAAATAGATGCTGTCACTTTTCAGTCTGTTACAGAAGCCCCGGGTCGGGGTCTTGGCCTCCTTATTTAGAAGTGTGTCACCTTGTGAACATTATTTAAATTTGGAACTTCCGTTTCCTCATCTGTGAATGGAGTTGACCCTCTGAAAGTCACAGGGTTACTACCAGGACGAAGTGGGATTATACATGCAGATAGGACTTTGTAATCTGCATCACATTATACAAATGCAGGCTGGCATTATTCTCAAAGGACTCACTGAAACAGTGGGGTACAAAATTCAGGAATGTGAGTGTTTAAAAGGTCTAGGGAGAGATAAGCATGGCTTCTTTTTCCAGAGCTTTCGCTCACTAGCAAGATTCTCTTGGTGAACACTGGCCACCTCTGGGCCTGGAAAAACGCCTGACTCTGATGATTCGGTCAGGAGTTGGAGCCTCTGACCCGCAGTCCCCACAGCCTGGCCTGGCTGTAACTTGTCCAAGTTCCGTTTGTGTCCACTTTCATCCTTTTAATTGATTAGATTATTGGGTGCATTCTTTATGAGTATGAAGGTCTCAGATGTCAGGGCTAAAGAATGTCTTTTGGGGAAAACTACCTAAAATGCTGTGTTGTGACCATTGCACTTCCGTCTGCAGATGTCACAGTATGAGTGTTCATGAAGTCATTGAAGGCATAGGGACTCTATGCATAAATTGGCAGGTCTGGATTCTTTAAAAATTTGTGATAATTACGGTTTGGGTTTTGTTTTGTTTTGTTTTATTATTAAAGAAGTGACTCCTCATAAAAGTTGTTATCCAACTTAAAACCATTTAGTGGGAAACCTTTGCGTATTTTTGTATACCTCAGCTAAACAAGAAAATAATTATGCTTGGCTTTTTATTCTTTAATATTACTTCCGCCTTTACCTGTTGCCAAACAAGTGTTAGTTGGAAAAGGAGAATGGTTTCTTGTCATTTGTTTTTCACAAAACCTCCCTATTCTCACATTTCCTTTTTGTGGCAGAATGAGCTGTGATAGCACATTTTCCGGATTACTGTGGTACTTGCAGATGATCTGAGCACAGTTAAAATATCGAAATTGTGAGCTGTAAGGTCGAACTTGAACCTCCTATGTGATTCTGATATTTACGCTGCGGGTGGATTACATGGAAATAATTGTGGTGTGTATATTTGAGTTCATGGTATTGTAGACAGAAGTAATTTGGAGGTGAATCGCTGCTGTTGGTTTTCTTTCAGACTTTCCCCTCTTCTCATTGAGAGAGGTGAGACTTGCAGAGGTAAAACAGGAAATGCTTGGATATTTTGTTGAACTCCTCGAGAGTTAAAAAAGCAAGTGGTGTTCATCAGCTATGGTTTGGTCCTTGGGTGGAGTGGATATGGGTGTGTGAAGGCAAGTGAAGGAGGTGCCCCATGGTCCCCGGTGCTCCCACACCCCCTCTACACACCACCAGCTCAACACCTAGCATGCTGGGTTGCAATTGCTGTGTTAGCTGAGGAACTGTTCCAGAGTAAAGGAAACCTACAGAGAGGGGACAGCTAAGTGCAACATGGGGTTCTGGATTGGAGCCTAGATTGGGAAAAAAAACATTGCCATAAAGGATAGTGGGACAATTGGTGAAATTTGAATGTGGACTCTATCCATTATAGAGGATAATGGGGATAATATACAATTTAAAATTTCCTTAATAAAACTATACCTTGGTCACATCAGAAGATGTCCTTATTATTAGGAGATGCATACTGAAGTCTTTTGGGTTAAAGGAACCTGATGTCTGCAACTCACTCTCAAAGAGTTACATGTAAGGTGACAAAGATGAAAAATTAGTGAATCCTGGTGAAATGCATAGGAGAGTAGATTTTTTAAAATAAAAAGTTCAAAATGTTTACCTTTTTATATCAATATCCTGCACTGGAACATTGGCTCCCAGAGGGAAAGGCCTGTGTTTGAAGACCTTTGTGTAGGCTGCCAGATAAAATACAGGATGTCCAGTTAGTTAACTTTGAATTGCAGATACCCTATGAATCATGGGGGCATACTTAGAGCACGTATAGTGCTAAACAACTCTTTGTGGTGGATCTGCAATTCAAAATTAACTGGGGGTCCTGTATTTTTATTTGCTTGCATCCGGCAACTCTGCCCTAAACGAGCATTGCCCCTAGTTCCAGCAGGGCGACCTAGGAGGTGCTCCTCTGTTCGGGGAATGAATGACGCGTCTTTTCAGAATTCTGGTTTGTGGCTCCTATTGGATAAAACCCATTGTGTCTGAGCATGGAGCTGGGATTTAACCTGTTCTTGGACCTGATCTCCTCCTTGTCCTTCTCTCTTTGAATAATCTTTTCTCTTGGAGCTGCTTCACGCTTTCTCCATTTCTCTGTCGGTGGTGGAGTCAGCTGGGTTACATTTTATACTAAGTTACCCACCTCCTGACACTCCTGACAGTTTTAAGATCTTCTCCTAACACACTTGAGTAGAATGGATACTGGAATCTATTTTGACAGCTGTTGGAAATCCAGGCTGTTGCTACAGCAGGTTAAGGAGGTTATTTGTAACACTGATATTATTCAGTGAACTTTTTGAAAAGAGGTGCATGCTGCTCGGGCAAATAGTATTTTATAGAATTTTAAATGATTATTATGTTCACAGTTAAATTATCAAATACAATGGTCTTAGAAATTATACGCTTCGTAATATTTTCCATTAATTTTCCTAGTAATAGTGTATTACAATGCTCTCGATTACCAGTGCCCCTTAAAATGCAGATGTGGAGTCTTTAAATACAGCTAGTTTATTGCCAACTGTCCCATTGATAACCTTCCCCTTCAAAGCGACCTTTGAGCAATTTCATAAAGAATGAATATTTATAGTATTTTGTTGTTGAGCTGCTGAAAGAGGGGTCTATGCAAGTAACAGGTGGCTTCCGTTAGCCTGCTTTCACTGAAATGTGATTCAAATAAAGCACAGCATTATTTTACCATCGGAATTGTGATTAAGTGCTAGACTGACTTCATCTTCGGCAAATTGTATTTCAGTGTTGAGGTTTGGGTTTAGGGTGGGGTGTCTTGCATATGCGGGAGTTGGAAAGCTTACAGATAAGACATAGCAGCTGAGGGATAAAACATCCAGGGTCTTCTTTATGCAGCAGAGGAATTTTTTTCAGAGGAACTGTTCTACTGGGCTTTAGGCTTAAGGGCAACTGTTCAGATTAACCCTCTAGACTTGAGTTTTCTTTTATCTCGGGTCCAAAGCACTGAAGAAGTCTCTGTCAAATTAATGATCAGTACAGTACTTAGCACGTAGTGGGCACTAAAAGTAAAATTTGTTCGATGGAATGAACTAGATAATTATGTTTGGGTTATTATTTAACTTTTAATATGATTTAATTACTCGAAATAGAAGATCTTTCCATTACTGCCCTTTACCCAGTTGCTTGGCAACACAATTGTTAACATGTTTTCTGATTAAAATAAATATCCCAAGCTAAGTTTATACTAGATCAGATTATAATATAGAGAATTAGAAGCATTAAATGGATGAGATGGAATTTGACACAAAAGCTATTACTGAGAAGTCTATTTTATTAAGTGTACTTTCTCCTGTGTCTGAAAAGATTTATCAAATTGTGCAAATCAGATCCTAGCAAATTGGGTAGAAGAGTTCTTAAAAAGACAACATTCTTGGAAGAATTGCGTTTCTATGACAGAAAAATTGAAAAAGGGAGAAAATCACATAAATAGCACCTATGATCCTGTTTTTCCTTTTATTGAATTCATTTCGTCTTCTTTCCTAGCACAAATACACAAATAAATTTGTTTACACACATACACAAAATTAGGACCACATGAACATATTGCAGTATCTATGTGTTTATGTGCTGTTCTGTGAAAAAATCTATTTAAACTATCTGTTTAAACTGAATATGTCATTCGTATATTACTGCATCACCATGGATTTTCTCACAACAATATTTTTAGTGACTGTATAGCATTTCACGGTATGGTTGTGCCTTCCATGGTCATTTAGGTTATTTCCAGTTGCTTGCAATTCTGTGATAAACATCCTTTAAAACATGGTTATTACTTTGCATCTCTGCCTATAAGTGCAATTTCTGGTCACACACTCTTAAAATTTTGTATGTAGTGTGTTAACCATATCATCCTTCTGAAAGTTTGGCCCAATGAACGTTCCTATGAACATTTAAGTACTGACTTCCGTACACTTTTTTCTACAATGGCTATCACTAAAAACAAACAAAAGACATCTTTTTGATAGGCTCTTATTATTTTCAGGTGCATTTCTTTGATGGTACTTTTCTCTATATTTATGGTCCAGTTGTGGTTTTTATTCTCTGTCTCCTTTTCCTTGGGGGCATCTGTTTTTACTTTCTAATTTATGAACACTCTTTCTTATATATGTTTTTTTTCCTTTCCATTCTTATAGTGTGACTTTGCTGGGAAGTGTTAAATTTTGATGCAGCCTGTTGGTAGGAAAACGATTTTTGAGAGCAAGTGATATTTCTATCAAAAGCTTATTTTTCTCCCCCTGTGCGGTGTCATTTAGTTTTCCAGAAGGAAGGAAGAAGTAACTGCTCAGTTTTACTTTAATCCTCTCAGGAAGGTTTTAAGTTATTAAAATGTATACAGCTTATATATTAAGAATCAAGACATTTCTGTATTTGCATTGTCTGAACAGCATGTCAAAGAGCTCAAATTAGTACTTTATCCTGGAAAGTTCTCATTTTAGAGTTTGGTCTGTTTTATGCCAACTTAAGACACATTAGAGGTGGGACAAAGGTTAAAATGGATCAATGATTTATTGTGTGTGAAATTTTCTAAAGACAGACTAATTTATGTACTCATCTATCAGGAATGCCTACAGATGTATAGAAACAATGACAGCTACGGGCCTATCAAAACTGATGGTTTTCTGATTCATAGAGAGACCTGCTGGGTCAAAAAGCCTCATTTCTTCACTCCAATGTGTGGGAAACTTATAGTCATATGTAGTATGGATACTTATGTTGGATTTTCCATGTAGATATTTTCCTGGTCTATTCTGCATCAAACTTATTTTACCAATTTAAGTAGCAAGACTCAACTGTAAGCAAATTTATTTGAGGCCAAATGATATTAACATCAATTAGAGCCAGTGATTCTCAGTATGGGAAGGACATATGTCTTTCCAGGCGGTAATAAGGTGGTTTGTGTCATTCATTTATTCAAAATTTTTATTTTGTGTCTATTCAGAACTATGTTTTTTATGGGAAGGAACACATACCATGTTAGAAGATGAAGATACAGCTGTATGCAAGGCATAGCATTTCCCTTCATTTGAAAACAAATTCCATTCCTTTGATTTTGTTTTAATCATGATATATCTTAACTTCAGTTTTCAAATAAGACAGGAGTTCCCTCTGATTGCTCTTTCCCTAGATGTCTGCACAAATCACTTCTTTACATCCTTCGGGTCTTTATATTCTCCTCAGAGAAGCCTTTCTAACCACCTTCTTTAAACCCCTTACCCTGATTTACTTAAGGCATCATGTTCATCACTGTAAGATGTATTACATTACTTATCTGTTTGTCATCCGAACGCCCCCCCCACTAGAATGTAAAGCCCATGAAAGAAGGGTGTTGTTAGTTTTGTTGACTTTCTTTCCCCAGCATCAGAAAGAGAACATCAAATATTGCAGGCATGCAAATAAGTATTTGTTGAATGAATTATTTCACTGAATATTTCCGTGCCTGTGGTGTGGTTGACACTGTGGGTGGTGGAAAGTGCTATGACGAAAAATAAAGCAGGTTAAGGAGACAGAGAGTTCTTAAAAATGTCTATTTGAAAAGGGCCTGGGTTATAAAAGGTGGGAAGACACGGGTAAGGCCAGTTTATCTTCCCTTTTCTTTCTCCTGAGTGTCTTTGAGTCGTCCCCTTTCCTCTCTCCTAGCCACATCATGGCCACTCCGTCAGTCCTGCTGAGTCTCTCGAAGGAGTCACACCACATTCTTTTCATGCCTCACTCCAAGCTGACCTTCCCACTTGAATGGCATGAAAACCCAAATGTGGTCAACTCTTGAACATTGTACTTCCCAGACTCCCAGGCGACAGGGTTTGTAGTAGCTAGCTCCTTCCGGAAGTCACCAAAGGCTACCTTAGGGGTTGATAGATAGTCAAGTGTTAGTAGGCATTCACAGATACTTTTATTACAGTTTTCATTTTCTGTTCACATGATTCTGAACTTAATTTCTTTGACAGATGCATCGTAGATGCATCTCTTTCACTCGGTTGTGTAACTTGTCATTCAAATCTTCCAAGATCTCAGTTTCTTTTTTTTTTTTTAAAGATTTTATTTATTTATTTGAGAGAGAGAGAACAAGAGAGAGCACATGAGAGGGGGGAGGGTCAGAGGGAGAAGCAGACTCCCTGCCGAGCAGGAAGCCTGATGCGGGACTCGATCCAGGGACTCCAGGATCATGACCTGAGCCGAAGGCAGTCGCTTAACCAACTGAGCCACCCAGGCGCCCTCAGTTAGTTTCTTTGAAAGGCAGAAGGGTAACACCCCAGAGAGAATGGATGAGGGGCTGTTTTTTTGGTTATCGCCGTGACTGGATTTTTAGCACCTGATGATAGGATACCCAGCATCCTACAATGCAGGAGAGAGCCATGCCCAAGAGAAATTGTCCTGCCTAGAATGCCAGTGGTACCCCCAGCAAGAAATGCTGATTCTGTCCCAGTGGTTCTCAGCAATACTGGTTGTGGTCTCAGCGGGGTACTTCAGAAATTTGTGGGATGTTGTTGGTTTTCACAACATTAAGGCGTGATTTACTAGTGGCATTTAATGGGCGATGATGCTAGAAGCCCTGCAGTGCACAGGGCAGTCGCCCACACCGGAGAATTGCCCCATTGGCATTCAGATGTCCACCAGGCAAGAGACGTGAAAAGCCCCATTGATGATTATCAGAGCCTACAGCCAACTGTGTAAGCAAAAGGTGTTTTTTGGCACAATTTAAGTAGATGGAAGTGCGTATTCTGTTTGCTTTGAGACTTTGCCAAGAGTTGCTTCCCGTGTTGGCACCATGACCTGTGGTTTGTAATTGGCATATACGTCTGCCTGTGTAGCTTTGCCTCGTGATGGTTGCAGAGGGGCAAGGATCTGACCACTTCGTTATGTCTTCTAAAGATCTCGTGCCTGAAAGTGTACATATCATCATTATGTGTGTTACAGTTATAAATTATTTTCCTTTTATTTCTTTTTTATATCATAGGTAGGCCATAACATTGATTTCTTAGAATTATGTGTAGCTTAGATTATATTATCTGTGATTTTCATTACAAGATTACAAAAGGGGCATGGAGTCTGATGAGGCTGAAATCCTTCATTCTAACCTGATTTGGCAGCTCCATTTCTCACTAGTCTATATGAACCCTGTTTCAGCCAAAATGATTTGCTGTGTGTTCCACATTTTCTCTTGCCCCATGTATGCCTTAAACTCAAACTTACCCTCTTCCTCCAAGGTCCTTCCATCTCCCCTTCTATAAATCCCACTCGTCCATCAGAGCCCAGTCTCCGGTAGCCTAATGAGGTCATCATTCTTCAACCACTAGGCTCTGTGACTTTTTTTTTTAAACTACTGTAGCACTTGTAAGAGCACCTCATTCAACACGTGTCTTCAGCCTGGTAGCATTACATATCTTTTTATGTTGAAGTTACCTCCTCAAATAGCTTGTAAGCTCCTTTCAGATGGTCAACTTGATTTGGTCTTCTTTTGATCTCATGCAGTGTCTAAGAATCCATTATGTGTAGGCAGCTCATTCTCCTGAGCTGTACTCTCTTGTCTTCTTTTTTTCCCCAAATATGAATTCTTCCCTGTCATTTTGCTAATTATAAAAGTAAAATCTATTCATCGTTAAGACATTTTTAAATATGGAAAAGTAAAAGAAGAAAATAAGAATTATCATTGATCTGCTATCCAGAGCCACGCATTGCTATCATTTTAGAGCATTTCCTTCTAGGTTGTCTTCTCTGTGTATATGTATGTTTTTTTACAAAATTAAAATTACGTACTTTCTATAGTTTGTATTTTACTGTCTTCACCCATTTAGCTTAATGTTATATCATGAGCATTTTCCTGTGTCACTAAATAGTTTTAGAAACTGTATTTATATAAAACATATTTTATGGAAAATTTAGGCATAAAAATAGAATAATGTGATAAATTCCTAGATGCCTGACGTTCAGCTTCAATAGTTATCAATAGTATGCCATTCCGAATATGTAGTTTATAATGGATGCATACCGTTTCATTGTTTGGATGATACATAATTTATTTAACCCTTTCTCTGTTACTGAAAATTTCAGTTTTCTGTAATTTTAGATGCTTATGTTTTTGTACTTCTAGTCATAATTATTATTCTTGCTCTCTGGAGAACCTAATTAATTTCTTCATTATTAAGTAATTCTGATTATTAGCAATTTTGTATTCTGGGATTTTTATTGTATTTCATATCTGTGACTGGTTTCACAATCATTTTTCTTTTCTCCATCCATCAGGTATTCTTGCATTAGCCAGAATGGGTCTTAAGTGAATTACAATAACAAGTCATGTTTTTCTATTCTTCTTTTAGAGGAAAGATAATTTTAAAAACCCAAAACTGGCAATGTAGGAGATGGCATTTACTTTCTAGGTATCTTAAGGGGCAAGCACAAGAAGGAAAGAGAAAATGGTTTCAGGAGAAACAATATCTGGCAAAATATAATCTTTGCCCAATGGAAAATTATTTTTTAAATGCTTAATTTTGCTTAAGAAATGGATGAAATGGTGAGCATCTAAACAAAAGTGCACCTGAACCAATATGTGTATTTCTTGAGCTGATTTAAATGTACATTTTAACACGTATATTTGGTATTTTTAAAACACAGCATCTTTATTTTTTTTTTTTTAAAGATTTTATTTATTTATTTGACAACGAGAGACACAGCGAGAGAGGGAACACAAGCAGGGGGAGTGGGAGAGGGAGAAGCAGGCTTCTTGCAGAGCAAGGAGCCCGATGCGGGGCTCGATCCCAGGACCCTGGGATCATGACCTGAGCCGAAGGCAGATGCCCAACAACTGAGCCACCCAGGCGTCCCTAAAACACAGCATCTTTAAATGGAGAGTTCCAGCGTGCAGCTTCTCTTTCATAGAGGTACTTTCTCAGGCAGTGGAGAGAGATGCTTTCCTTAGATATGGCCCGTCGTGAGCCGTGGGAGGATGAGCGAGCGGGGAATTACATGGACAGTGTGATTACTCGTGCCCTTGCCCTGATGGGAGTTCTTCTGCGGCACCTGCTGAAATTTCTACACCAGGTCATATACACAAAGATGACTCATGTGCCTACCTACTCTGAGAAAATGTCTTTGTTTCTTCTATTACAAAGTAAAACATGGTTGCTGTAAAAAAAAGAGAGAGAGAGAATGGGTTTTCAGCGATTTATAGTAGAGATGTATAGAAAAGTGAGAGAAAGTGGAAGTATCCCATAATCCACACCCCTTCCCGCTCTTGGCCGTGCTGGATATGCTCATTTTGATTCCTCTGGCCCATATTAGCATATATTATCTGCATAATCCACAGAACAAAAGTGTTACTTTTTGAAATGCTAGTGTAATCAGGAACTTTGAAGTATGCAGACCACATGCAGTTTCTCCTCATTAGAGGTAAAATGATAAGCAGAAATAACAGGACAGAATTGGTTACATATGGAAAACTACAGCAGAAGGGGAAGCTTAAGAAAAGGAAGGCGTAAGAACCCAATAATGAAGACGGTAGAATTTTTGCATGTGGAATCCCACTTTGTTCATTCGTTAAAAAAACCTACTCTGTGCTATGAGCTGTATTCAGTATTAGAGATACAAACTTGTGAAACTTGCCCCTGTCAGCTCTTTTTGGTGTTTTGCACATGCTTTCCCATCCTTCTGGAATACTTTCCTCTCCTCTATCTGACAGCGTCTTTCTCATCCTTCATGTCCCAACACAAAGGTCACTTCTGATGTCCAGCCTTGTTAGCCCTACCGACTGACTTCGCAGACCCCTCCCAGCTCACGTTTGAACACCTCTCCAATACAGCATTACTTATTGTCCTATAAGTACACAATAGTACAAATGTTGAATTCCTCTCATATATTCTTGGCTGTAGGGTCAAAATGAATACATAGTACGTGCTCAATATCAATAGATAGATAGATAGATAGACAGACAGAAGGAGCATATATTTATTGAATAAATGATTGATTGAATTAAAAAGCTAGTAATGTGGACCAAAATCTTTACATTCCATACTACAATACAAGGAGTCAAGGAGCAATGTTAAGAGTAGAGGGACAGTCTGATGTCCTTCTTAATATAGACTTTAAGTGTATGATACTTGGATATTGAGACAATTGGATTAAGCAGAACACCTAAAAGTGTTTAATGGGGTTAAGTGGGAAGAAGAGCTTCAATATAATGTATTTTAGTGGCACATCTCATTCAATATTATTTAAGAATTGTTAACTGTCTTATTATTTAAGAATCTTTGCCCCGTGATCCTATATGATTTCCAAATTGTATTTTTAGTGGGAGGATACTGGTTTTTGCCTTCTGTGTTAACAGGTCAGGAGTGGGAACTGCTAATCTAAAGGTTTTCGTAATTCAGAACTATGATTTAGAAACTAAAGTTCATGTAAGGTTCAAGAAATAATATTTTTTTCAAGAAAAAAAATGGTGTCAAGGTAGCCTTAGTAGCGGATCTCTTTCCTCTATGGAATTAGATTCACAGGTCTGGAAGGAAGGGATCTTGATCTCGTCTGTTGAGTATTGTAACTAGATCATGGTATGTGGCCTGAGAAGATGGATTGGGCAGGTCCTGGCAGGAAAGACGTGGCTCCCTTGAAAGGGAAAAGGAGGAAATAAAGTGACTACTAACAAAGGCAGGGGTCAGGGAAATCCACAAGTATCTTAGAGTTAACAACAACAGAATGTCATTACCCCTGACAGGAGCTGTGGCCTTCGGGCAAAGATTGCAGTCACTGCCAAAGCAGCCCAGGAGGGCAGGAGCCAAGGGGATAAATATTGCCACCTGTGTCTCTTCCCTCCATTCAGTTTCTTACTGGCCATTCCATCGGATGACCCAAATGGACCTCAGAAAGCATGGAACCAAGAGATGTAGTCTCAGGAGAGTAGACTCCTAGGGCATAGATCAGGGTGCAAAGTGGAGGAGAATGGATCTGGAGGGGCAAATGGAGAATATCTAGACAGTGGGGAAAATCTTCAAGTTATGAAAAGTGACCTTCCTTGTCCATAGCATTCATGTGTTCATTTGAAGGGTTAACTAGGGTGCTTCATTTGTTAGGATTTTTTTGCTTGTAGACTAACCTCTAAATCAGATCTTGTGAAGGGGAGCCCCATGCAGAAGTGTTTTGTTTGGTTCACACAGTGTTTTCTTTTAAATACCAACAAATGGCAAACTATAGTGCCTTTGGGGAGATTCACATCAAAGTCTGAGTCTCATACTTCTTTTGACAAATGGAAAATTTGGCAGCACTGAACATGCATTGGGAACAATCTGCCAAGTTTAGTAGGAGCTGCCCCTTTAGACAGGTAGGAACTCTTCATTTTGCCTCAATCCCCACCACCCCCTATTGTAGTCTTAAACCCACATGGCTTCTGCCTGATATCTGTAGACTTTTGAGTTTGTGACCCTTGGCCTCAACAAAGCACTTTAGAGAAGGAAGGATAGATAAGTCACACTTAACCTAGAAAGACAGTGAACTCTGTCTTGGAAGATGTGCTTCTCTACAAAGGGAATAAAGAGACAGGGAGATTAATCTTGTCCCTGGAGACACAGTCTGAGTGTTTGTTAGACTACCTAGGAGAAGGTTTTGCTAGATACATGAAGTTCAGTTGGATTTTTTAGGTCAGTCTCTGTGTTTACCTTTAAACTTTTAATTCTTTTCCATAGAACAAAGATTGTTGAATGGAATATGTTCCAGCTTATTCCTTATTTCAGTACAAGAACATGCTAGGAAAAGAGAAAGCCTGAAATGGGAAAGAAAGAAAGAAAGAGAGCGAGAAAGTAGAGAAAAAGCAGGTAAACTGTAATCTGATATAAACAACACTGTCAGGAGCATCCTGTTCCTTATAGTTTTGCCTGATTTCTTTTTTTTTTTAAGATTTTATTTATTCATTTGAAAGAGCAAGTGAGAGAGAGAGAGCGAGCGCTAGAGGGTACAAGCCAGGAGGAGGAGCAGAGAGAGAGGGAGACTTCCCACCAAGCAGGGAGCCCGATTCGGGGCTTGATCCTAGGACCCCGGGATCATGACCTGAGCTGAAGGCAAATGCCCAACGGACTGAGCCACCCAGGCACTCCTGTTAGCCTGATTTCTTTAGCATAAATTCCTAGAAGAGGAATGGCTGCAGTAATGTGCATTTAAATTTTTGATAGACAGTCCCAAACAGTATACCTGTTTGTAAGACCTTTAATTCTTATTGTCAAATTGCCCTATCTATCTGGAGTAATAGACAGTGAGGACTCAAATAAGGACATATAACCCAACGTAAAGGCAGCCTGTTAGATGTTTATGATAGGAACAGACTACATTTTTACCTACTAGGACCATATATTGTAAATAATCTCAGCACTTAAATTTTGGAGTTTTTAAAAAAAAAAAAACTGTAGGTAAGATAGAGACTACCAGTTTTGCATGATAATTTTTTTTCTCTGCTCTATGAGAAGATTTTTTTTTTTTAATACTATACTGCTTAGACTATATCAAGAGAAATGGGCTCTATTATCCCTATGATAAAACATTGGAATTAGAAGAGCTGAGTTTTAATTCTGGCCCAGCTGTTTCTCTGTTTATATGATCTTGGACGGGTTAGTTGACTTGTCTTAATCTTCTCATCTATCCAGTGGAGAAAATACCATAATTGATTCAAAGTGTTACTGTAAGAGCTAAATAATACTATCGATGAAAATATAGAGTATTTTGTAAACTGCAAAGCAATATACAAATTTCTCAATATCATTAGTAACACTATAATAGTAATACTATTCCTAAATTTTTCTGATATAGTTCCTTCTGGTTACTCCCAAGGTTACAGATTAATTAGCTGGATGGACATTCTCTTGTAACTGTGTGCCTCTTTTCTTTTAAAACACTGGATCTCTCTATCTGAAAGGAAAATTTCAGGAGAATTTATGAACTTGCAGTCTTGGAACTTGGAGAGAAGAGACACATATTCCTGCATATTCCCAGATCATTAATCCTACTTTTAATTCTGCTCCCAGCCTTGTACCACATCATTTCCTAATGATCAACTGCAGTGAGTAATAACAACCTTTGGGCAGATCAAATTTCAGTTTTAAAATCCAGGAAGCAAAGCTGTGCTTTGGTCTTTCTCCTTTTTAAATTATAGCTAAATGTTCTTTTTCTCTATTTAGGCAAGTCGGATGCCTGGTTTCCGCCAGACCAAAGGGAAGCCAGGCCCCTCTTCTGTGTATGTCACTGTCATAAACCCAGAGGGTCTGGGCTTATGAAGCAGCTACTTATGAAATAATGTTTTGGCACTGAATGCCTCACACCTGAAATTAGGATCTTTGGAAGACGTTTTCCGGGGTTTTGTGGTAGTGGTTGTTGCTTTTGTTTTTCTTTTTATGTTTGTTCCTATAAGATCTTTATGATGAAGTATTTCTAGTATTTCAATAGACCTAGCTGCTTGGAATCTGGTGAATTGTCAACAGGATATATTTTCTCTCAGAATTTGTTATTCTGCTGGAACCATGCTGTGGTGCTTTTGTGATTGAGTTAGCCACCAGATAACCCCTGCCCTTAACTTTCTGCATTAAAATTGTTTCTCTCTGTCATCCAGACGGTGGGTTGGTATTTCTCAGGTAACTGTTTAGCATGTAAAGCTTATTAAAAGCTTGCTACTGAAAAATAATAGGGCTCTTGCCTGTAGGAGCCATTACAGAAGGTGAGAGCCCCTTTTCTGGTAAGAATTCGGGTTAGGACCCTTCATTTCCCCAACAGAACATCAGCTGATAGTACCTATATGCTGCACTTGAAATGCTCGAGCAACCTTGTCCTTGAGCAAGACAGCTTGCAGGGCAGGTTAGTCATGAGTTACTGTAGGTTCTCGAAGAGCTTCCATTTTATCATAGTAGCACCAGTAAACAGCTTGCCCAGACTATGTTAACCAGCCATGCACAGATACCCCTTTACTGAGCTGCATTTCAGTATCTGGCCTTTGGCTTCACCCAACAGTCAAAGAAAGAAATGGCCACCTGGCTTCAGCTGAAATCACCGTTCCTTATTTCTAACTTATTTTGTGGAGGGACTATGCCATAAATTCCTCTTTGAGCTCAGCAGTAGAAAATGGACGTTCCTTCCGACAAATCCATCTGCTTCCACGTTTATGAAATTGAGAATTCATAACCTATCATGTTCCCTTTTTAGCTTTGGTTTCCTAAGCTCAGAGCCAAAATTAGTGCTTCATTACAATAACTCGTCTCCATTTCCTGGTAGTTATCTCTTTCTTCCATGTGGATTAGCTCTTCTTTTCTTTATTTCAGTGATCCTGTACATGTGTTTATTTTAAGCCATTTTAAATCCTTTATGGAAGTAGGTAGAGTTCAGATTATAAATAAAATGGTATCGCTCCTATTATTGTCACAGTCACATTATTGATTTGTGTTTGGCGTTAGTCTCCTGCTTCCCTCTGAACTTCTCCTTTATCCTTGCTGATTTGCTCATATTTGGATGGGGATGAAAAACCAGACTAGGAGCAAAAAAAGGATATGATCCTCAACAGAAACCTGACAATATTTTTATAGTTTAAAGTATAAGGTTATAGGGCTCACTGTACAAATATTTTTATTTTCATGTGAATCAGAGAGCTATCACTTGTCTTAGATACAGCAGAGGGGTTAAGGGTGTTTGGTTAGGGGACTTTGTTCAGGTTAAATAGTGGACTTCATGGCCAAAGTCTCCCCTGCAGCCCTCAGTGTTAGAATTATGAAGCGCTTTTCAGTTGAATCTCATATCTGGGTTTAGAGTTGCTATTTTAGGCAGAAACCAGGGCTGATGACGTGGAGAAAAGAGTCTGACTTTTGGGATACTCTGACATCACTATCCATAGGAACTGATGCGTGAGAACTGGGATTGGAAAGCTAGTCTGGCTAAAGGGACTTAAAGACTTTGGGATAAGATGACAGTTCCAGGTTATTGGGTAAAGAAGAAAACTCAAAAGACATCTGGCAGTAATGGTGGGGAGAACATCAAGCAAAAACCATGTAGAAACAAAGGGAAAAGCAAAACAGAGACAGCAGGATCCTGAGATCCAGGTCGTACCACAGACTTCCTCTCTTCTCTCGCTGAGTCTCAGCTGGGCCCGGGGAGGGCTTGCGATTTAGCGGGTGGGTGGCACAGTTGGCCATAGATTAGGTCACCACGGAATAAGTACCCTCTTTACTTGGAACATCTTTCCAGGGCTGGACCATTCCTTTAGGGTTAAGTGAGAAGTCGCTGTTCAAAGAGGAAGCACATCCATGTGCTGCTGCATTTTTTTAAACCAAAATAACGTATTTGCCTATTGCTAGAAGCCTGCCCTTTTAAAAACAAAAAGACTGGCACAGACAATGGCTTTTGGGGATGAAGATACTTCCCTTTGTGTCTGTTCTAGTCAAGCCTCTTCTGGTTGCATGGAACAGAAACCATCATGAGCTAGCTTAAGGAAACGGGGGTTTAGTGCAAGTACGTGAATATGTTCTCGGGAGAGTGATGCGAGACTTCCATGGTCAGGAACCTTCCCAACCTCAGGGGAGCTAGAATTGGGAGGCTTTTTTGGGACTCAAGATAGCTACGTTCTCGCTTTCTCTTTCCCTTCATTGTGTTTGTCAGGCTAAATGTTTAGGTCCTTGTTACTGCAAGTGCAGACTGGGGACCGGCAGCAGGGACATCCCCTGCAATCTTGTAGCAATGCAGACTCTCAGGCCCCACCCCAAATCTGAATTGGCATTTTAACAAGACCTCCGGTGATGTTTGCACATGAGGGTTTGAAGAACTTGGTGTAGGTCCCTGGCTATTTATAGAGCTGTTCCCTTTACTCGGGTGCCCACTCCAATGTCATCATCCTGGATGAGGGGCTGGGCAGGGCCATGTGACAAGCATGACCTTGGCTGGGGCTGTGGGAGGGAGAGGCCAGGCTGGCTCATCTTATACACCATCTAAGACTTTCGGGCTTTCCTTTAACTTGTAGCATCTGTTAGGACCATGGTTGGTTCCCAATTGCCGAGACATAGTTGGTGGAGAAATTTTGTGATTTATTTAAGACTAAATAAAACTGGTTGTAGCGCCATTACTACCTGAAAATGTCATTGTTTTGCTTATATCTTACGTTTTATTGGCTTTTCAAAGATAATTAAACCTGAAAACACTGTAGACTAAGTATAGTTTAGGCAGTTGTATGAATAGGAGTTTTTAGCTCTACATGAATGTACTCAGGTGGTTTAACGACAGCTACGTCTTCCTTCCAGCTAGGAGACACTGATCAGTGCTAACGTTTACAAAGCTCTGTCTCTCTCACATGGAGTCTCGTGTGCATACCTCCAGCTCCCATCATGCCCATTAGCCTGTGAAATTGATTCTTTTAAATGGTTATACAGGTCTTTGGCTTATTAGCCAACCGTATGACTGAGCAAGTGAGTCCTGTTTTCAGGAATTCTATGAGTCAGTTAGATCTTTAAGGACGGGTGTGTGTGTGTGTGTGTGTGTGTATCAGTCACTCCCAGGGACACTTAGAGCTCTTTTACAGTTTGATACATTCCCCATCCCCTAGAAGACATTTTCTCAAAAGGGAGAACTTTGCTACCTCCATTAGTTTATTTTAAAGAATTTTTTTGGTTTTATCTCTTTAAGTTTTTTTATATCTTTTTATTAAGAGAATTTTTTTAGAGTAGTCTAAGCTTCCCAGGAAAATTGAGGGGAAAGTATAAAGATGTCCCATATGTCCTCTGCCCCCACACACTATTACCTATTTGAATGCTTCATTCCCTTGGCCTGCCCTTGTTGACCATACCTGTTTAAGGCATGATTAGTTGTTTGCTCCTTGCCTGGCTGGTCCAGTTTTTGGTGTTTCAAGGTACTGATTTCTCCCCGCTTAGTAACCATTCCAACAAGAATGGTGGATTTTCATATTGCCTTTTAAATAGAATAGGTCTCTGTAAGGCACATTGTAAGTTTCTCGCTGAATTTAATGAAGACAAATTAAATCTGTATCTTTATTGAAGCAATTCAGGTGATGAGAAAGGAAGCTCTTGAATCAAGAAAGAAGGTACGGGGGGTGATGTCGGATACAGAGAGACTTAGGGCCACTTTTCTGAAACACAAAATGAGCTTCAGTGCTAAGAAAACTCCCAGCTCTGAATAAGGAGTTGATGGAATGTCCATGCAAGATGGAATTTTATTTCTGGGACATTGTTGGAAACCCATTAGATGGGATGATCTTCAGTCTTTTGTAGTCTGAAATTTAATGAACTCTTATAAACGTTGTTTATAAATCCTAAGTGAAGAGAAAAAGGGCTCCCTCCTTAAATTTATGTTCTGATATGCACTTTAAAGTTGGAATTCCCATTGCACTTCTGATCTTTTCTTAAACTGTGAAATCTATCACACATACAAGAGTGTATCACATTTATGTACCACTAAAGATTGATAAGATGAATGCCTCTGTGCCTACCACCCAGACTAAGAAGGAGAACATTACCCAGTGTCTTTAAAGCAGTCTCTGTTAATGTGCATTTCTAGACTTCTTTAATGTGCACCGTGATGTTTTATTTGTGAGCACTCATATTGGTGGATACCAAGCGAGAGAAGCTCAGCCAGTTTTATCTCATATGCAAACTTTTCTCATATTTCCAATCTGATACTGAACTTGAACACAGTTAAATTCTTCCTCTTAGAAGCTGATCTTTAACAAGCTGATTATCCTGCTTAAAAATAATAGCATCATTCATGACTTTAATTTTCCCATTCACACGGCAATTACAGCCGTGGTAGCTTCCCTGAGCACAGGATGAGTATCCATCAGCTTGAGCTTCTGCTGTAGAGAAGGCGAGGGGCCTGTAGGCTGACAATCCATCCAGGCCCAGGAGAAAGCATAGCTAATGGAAACTGTCTTTAAATCGTCGACATTAAATCCACCGAAGGTGTCATTATTTTCTAGGTGTGTGAGAGGGGCATTAAAGTTCTACCCTTTCATTTCTGATGTGGATTTTTTATTGTCACCTACAGTTCCAAAGAGCCAAGATTGGATGCATACATTAAGTAACTACATGCTTTGGTAAAAATCAGAGTTTTGAAAAAGAGAGAGTGAAGGACATTGATTAGCCATTATATTGCATCATTTAGAAATGGGCAGGGAAACTTCCCAGTGATGCCGAGGGCTAGGAAGACAGTTCTCAAGAGGCCCTGTGGAGTGCCCATCCTGCTGGAGGTCTGGGCTCATGGCCAAAGGCACTGGTTCTTTTTTAGGAATGACCAGAGCTGACATTGAGTGCTTCCATTATGTTAAGTGTCTCATAGCAACTGCATTGATAAGGACCTATTATAAATGAGGAAACTGAGACCCAGAGAAGCTAAGGCACCTGCCAGGGTTGTATTAGTCACTGTCTCTGCTTGAGTCTCGTAGAGAGAACATTGCATAGTGGTTAAGAGGATGAGCACCGGGACAGGCCATTTGGGTTCATGGCACACTCAGCCACTTAGTAGCTCTGTGACCTTGACCAAGCTACCTTAACCTCTGTGTGCCTCAGTTTCCTCATCTGTAAAACAGGGATACTGACACTGCTGTCCTCTTAGAGTGGTGTTTAGGATTAAGAAGTAATGACTGTAGGGGCACCTGAGTGGCTTAGTCGGTTAAGCATCTGCCTTCGGCTCAGGTCGTGATCCCGGAATCCTGGGATCGAGACCTGCATCGGGCTCCCTGCTCAGCAGGAAGCCTGATTCTCCCTCTCTTGCTGCCCCTGTTTGTGTTCCCTCTCTTGCTGTCTCTCTCTCTGTCAAATTAAAAAAAAATCCTTAAAAAAATAATAATGACTGTAAAGTACTTGGTCCAGTGCACATCATATAAAGCATGCTTAGGAAAGTCTAGCTAATAAGTGAAGAGTCAGTGTGGAGCATTTCTCTAAGTCTGAGAGTAGTCAGATATTTTAGAAAATAGTTCATTCTTATTGCAAAAGCAACAGTGTTTGTTACAGAGCAGTTAGAAAATATATAGAAATAAAACAGGAAAAAACTTTATCCCACTATCCAAACATAATTGCTATTAATATTTTGTTCTGTTTTCTTCTGCACTGCTTTAATATCATTGTGATCATTATCATGCTTTATAAACAATTTTGCATCCTTTTATACTTAAAATGATAATATAATGATGATATGAGTATTAGCAACATAATATCTTTATAAATATAATTTTAATGATTATAATAATTTCTACATTGCTCCATTGTTTGGTATTGGCTATTATAATTAATGTTTTCATAAACATTTGTGAATAAACTATATTTTCTTAGATTAGGGATCAAGCAGACATGTATATATAACTTTAAAAAACTATTTTACAGAATTAACACTTTGCACTGTAACTAACTTTACATACACAGACCTTAAAAGAAATCCATGTCTTTACAACATCCTTGTTAGGTAAGAGCAAGTTATCCTTAACTTAGAATAAAACAATAATGAACTCATTTCTGGAGGTATTTATTAGGTGCCCGTTTTTACCTAAGGACTGGTTCTAACTACTAGGAGGGTGAAGAAGTTGTAAAAATAAGTTTAAGGATCATCCCACCTTTTAGAAAATATGAAGCATGTACTTTCCACTGTAAGGAAGAGATCAGACCTTTATTTGCCTTAATCTGAGAGGGTGCACGCGTGCATGCCTGTGTGTGTGTGTGTGTGTGTGTGTTCATGCACACTTTTGCAATGCTGCTTCCATGCCATGGGCTTGCTTCATGTGGTTTCCAACAGAGTGAGCTCAAGATTAGAGAGCACCTTGCCATCCTGATTGGCCATTACAGATTCGGATGACGTCTATGTTTACAAGCTGTTTGCAAAATGTTGCTTGGTGCTGCCTAATCTGTGGCATGTGCCTGCTTCTCACACATCCCCTCGTGGGAGGCAGGGCTGAGCCCGGGGAGGGAGCGTGCCCCCTGCACAGTCAGGCGGGGTATGAGGCTGCCTTCCTGAGGCAGGCACAGTAACCTAGGAAAGATGAAGGACACAGGCCCTGTTTGGTCTCCGTGCTCTGGAAATCATCACTAGACTGTCAGCATTCATTCAGCACATTTCTTTGAGGTTTTCTGTGGAATGTCTTCTCATAATGTCTGTTTTAAAGGTTTAGCTTTCAAAGTCCAGAGAGATTGAGTGACTCAGATGGTTCTTAATTCAGCATGCTGCGTGCTGCCTGGCACCATGTTTTTGTACGCCCCCTCCCTCCTTAGTTCTTTCGTTTGGTGGCTGAAGAGAATCTCTGGCTTGTGGAAGTGCTGCTGAAGGTGTATTGGGTGGTCAGCACGTCTTTATATATTTGCCAACACTGTCTTTGGTGCGAAAAGAGAAAGGACCCGAGTCTACTTTAGAGGGAAATTCCCCCCTAGGTTGTGTAACCATTACTTCTTGCCTGGTGGGGAGGTAGGGGTGAGGCATGGACTGGCCAGTGGAATGCAGGCAGCCTCTAGAAGCTAGGAAAAGCAAGGAATGGGATTCTTCTCTAAAGCCTCCAGGAGGAACACAGTCCTGCAGACATCCTGATTTTAGCCTAGAGACACCCATTTTGGACTTCTGGTCTCCAGAACTATGAGCTAGTAAACATGTGTTGTTTCAGGCCGCTAAGTTTATGGTGATTTGTCATGGCAGCCAACAGGAAACTAAAGCCATTCCAAGATGGTCACCGAAGGGTAGGCTGTGTCTGCTCCTGATGGTTCATCTGGAGAATAATGTCCTTTTTGGCATCTGAATGCTTTTCTGAGGGCTAATTTACGCATCTTGAGGGGAAGGTGAATTTAACAGGACACCAGTTTGAAAGAAATAGCGGTAGCTGACTAGTACATCAGTACAGATACCTCTTGGCCACACTGCACTTCTTCTCTCTGCCATGTGATCATTCAGAATGGACTCTTCTTGACTGTCAAAGAAAGTGAAGTTCGTTAAGTCTCTCGTGTGTTAGCCTGATAGCAGAAGTTAGCAGAATCATTCAGAAAACTTTGTTGGAGTGTTTAAACTTGCCTGCAGCATCGAAGGCATGATTTAATCTTGGAAGTAGAAGTAAGATTGCCATGTCTTTGGGGTTTTCTTTTCCCAGTAAGGCATTTATTTGCTCTGAAGGATGGGAACCCATCATGACCTTGAAAATCTCCTTTTACTGGCACTGCTGCTATTAGTTGGAGGTAACTCTGTGGATGCTGTGTTTCTAACTTTCAACCAGCTAGTGAATCGCTGTCTTTTGATCTTTCTGCAGCCTGGTTTTTGTTTTTAACTGTAAACATGACCTGTCCCTTCCAGAACTAGGTCACTTTCATTTTGGTCGGAATAGTTAATAAAAGTTTCAGAGGGAAACAAAGAGTTTCTGCAGCATTTTCTCTTCCAAACGAGCCGGGATGAAACTGAAATGGGGCCGTATCGGCGTCTACATTTGAAATGACAAGAATGTATTTCTACCAAAATATACACTGAACTTCACAATGTAAAGAAGGAACAAAGTCATCTATAGAAAAGCAAGCTCAGGCCCCAGAGCTCACAGAGTACCCATTATAGTCCTCCCAGAAAAGCGTTTTCTTCACCGGAGAACTTACCAGCTAGCTCGGCCTGGCACTGCAATGAGAGGACACTAGCTCTTACTATTCTCTCGACTCGGCGTCTGAAAAGTATTTATTTCTTAGCACATTTCTCTCATCTCTGTGCCTCTACAGCTGGATATTGCTTACGGCTAAATGTTTTTGTGATAAAGTTAATTGCTGAAGCTTCGATTTTTTTTTTTGAGCCAAGTTGCATGGAACATGCAGTAACTGTTGATAAAGTCTTATTACTATAAAAGTCCATTCTGATTTCTTAAAAAATCAGACAGTTCAATTGTCCTGTGAAATAACTGATAGTGATAATTCTTTGACTCTGATACAATCTTAGAATAGCTCAGCTCCAGTGCATTTTTTAGAGGTGAGTGTGGAAAAAATAAGCTATGGAAAGCACTTGTAGTCAGTTGGAAAAAGAGAGAGTTTGTTCCCCCCCACCCCCAGCCAGCAGATAGGCCCAAATTTGTAGAATTAAAATAGGAAGCTGTTAGTGTTCATGATAGGTATGTCTTTTTTCTAAGGGTTCGTCTAATAAAAATGATTAAAAACCAGCATGATGATAATTAGAATTTATAGCACATTTAATTTATGCATTAAAGGTCATATTAATTGTGATTATGCATAGAAATATAGTACTTTAATTCATAAAAGGGAGCCTTTGAATCTTGGCTGGGCATATGGGTCTTAAAGGGAAAAAAACCTAAAAGATTCAAAGAAGGATCAATGAAGAAGAGTGAATGTTAATAATGCCATAGCTCACTCCCCTTTTCATCCATAAAGCCCTATTTATTAATCATAACAGCATCAACAATAATGAGCATATTCCTTGTTTGCCCCATTGGTGACCTTCGAGGTTTCCATTATGCTTGGCAATTGCGCAATGCTCAGAACACAAGTTGCCTTCCAGAGTGGGCAGAAATTCCCTGGGTAGCCCCAGGTCCCAGCAAACCACTCGATCAACCTTTACATAGAAGTCATAGCCTAGGGAATAGCCTTTTCCCCTCTGGTTTTGGCCTCTGGTTGCCTGTGAGGTTACAAGAACATGATACATAGATTCAGGTAACACACTGGGTTTGATGGGAAATAAACCAGCAATAACTGTTGTCAAGCTAATTATTAGTTTAGACAGATGTACTCAATCTGTGGATAGAAGCCCTCGGATCGGACCCTCGTTTGACCTCCAATGTGCAGACCCTTTTGCTGAGGTGAGCGGGGTGGGTAGTAGTGGGTACCTTGTACCACTGGAGTGGAGTTCCCTTTGGTTTCCAAATTGCATCTCTGAATAGCACAGGATTTGAATTATTACTTTAAAAGTTGTTTATCTTTGGAAAATAATAACTGAAAATTTACCCAGCAAAAAAATTTTTATTCAAAGAAAATCCTTTCCATTTTGATTTGGGTTACATATAGTTAGCCAGTTTCTTCTAATTTTTTTTCATTTCTTTTATTCTATCCCTCAACGTCCATATTTTTGTGATAGGATACCATCATTTTTGTATTCACCATTCATGTGATAGGATACCATTCATTTTGTATTTGTATTTTTGAATATGGTGAACTAATCTGCATGTCTCCAATCCTTCTTTGAGTCACCGGAAGCTCTTTCCTGCTCAGTAGAGTTTGGGCTATTATTAATTTTACCTCTTACTTAAAATCTTGTCTTTCTTTGAATGTGAATGTCTTCATTTCCCCTAATGCCTATTCAGTCAACTCTAATTGCTGTTTCTTCAGTCTAGGGTCATCTTCATTAGTTTAATTATCGTAGAAGCCTGTTTCCTAAATGTGCTAATAGCATGAAAATGACTTATTTCCATGTTCTCTGTTGTGCTACATTAAGAAACAGACAAAAAGAAAAATTTGTACAGGAAGACTGAAAAACATCAGTTTTCTAGGATGGCGCATTCGAGGTTGCTGCCCCCAGCCTCATCTACCTCTAGGAGTCAGGACCTGAGCTGGAGAGCAGAGGGTGGAGCAGGGGGCTGCCTGAGGCAGTCAGTCAGTAGCAGAAAAAACCACAAGCCTCATAAAGAGGAAAAGCCAAGGGAAGCAAATACACTTGACAACAAGAACAGGATACATATAGGAGCAGAAGGCCTGGGTCAAGAGCTGGATGTTGATTAGAGGGAGATGGGAGCAGGTAGGGATGAAATGAAGCAGGTAGCAGGCATTGCTTTGACCAGAACTGGGTGTTCTTGATTTGCCTCTGTTGGTAGGTAGGTTCATGGTGTGTGCATGCCAGGCTGGTTTAAAGGGTTAGGGCTGGTTGTAAACAGTCATGGTGCAAAGAATGTCTTTACAGTGTACCCAAACATATTGTAGAAAAGTCACCCTCTCAGAGATACTTGTCCCATTATGGCATACCAACCGTTGCCGGGCTCCAGCTGGGACATTTCTCTGTGCTTCTTTCTTACAGTGCCTGATTTCCAGTTCCCATCCAAATGAAAGTGGACCATGGGATGAATGATTTGTTTGCATGTGATCTTCCTTCCATTCCTTTGTAACTTTTTTTAACCTTGTTTCTTGAGTTTCACATAGTATCTCCTTTATTCTACCAATTATATGTCGTAAGCAATTTGTATCTTTAAAGTGAAGGTTCTTGGGGCATGTGGGTGGCTCAGTTGGTTGGGCGTCCGACTCTTGATCTCAGCTCAGGTCTTGATCTCAGAGTCGTGGGTTTGGGCCCTGTCCAGTGTGGAGCCTACTTAAAAAAAAAAGAAAAAGAAAAAAGTAAGTTAAAGTGGTGGTTCTCAAAGTGTGGTCTGGGGAACCCAAAGGTCCCTTAGGCCCTTTCAGAGAATCTACAAGGTCAAAACTGTTTTCACAATACCACTAAGACATTGCTTGCCTGTTTTTGCTCACATTATCTCATGACTGTACAGAATATACGTTCATCAATAAGGATTCAGCTTCCATGCCACAGGTAACCTTTAAGAAACAACCAGTTGTCGAGTTTTAGTGTATATCAAAGAAGAATCCAAAAAGGGCTATTAAAATACTCCTTCCTTTTCCAGCTACATTTCTGTGAGGCTAGATTTTCTTCGTATACTTTATTTATTTTTTCTTCATATACTTTAACTGAAAGAGCATATCGCAAAAGATTGACTGCAGAGGGAGATATGAAAATCTAGCTGACTTCAAATCAAGGCAGACATTAAAGAGATTTGCAAATATGTGAAAACTGGCTCTTACTAGTTTTTTTCCTGTAAAATAGTTATTTTTCATAAAATATGTTATTTATGTTAACATATGATGGGTTTATTGTTATTTTAAAATAAATTAATAAATATTTTTAAAGTTTCTTTGTTTTAATTTGTAATACAGTTTATCTGGATAGGTATAATCCACACAAACGGAAGTTTTTGGGGGTTCTCAATAATTCTTAAGAGTAGAAGTGGATTTTAAGACTAAAAAGGTAGAGAACCACAGCATTAAAGTAAGCATTTGTTTATAATGCAAGAATTGGGTTGTTTAATGACACAAATGTATGGTCCACAAATGTACAGTGTTAAAGTCAGAAATTGATAATGAAAGTGACTTTTACAAAGTACTTGGTCTGGGTCTCTCCTGTCTTCCCTGCTAGCAGTTGCTACATTTCCCTCTTCTTTCTTCCCCTTACACACCAATAACTGTAAAGCCTGACGTAAATCCTGTAAAAATATGTGGGAAACACTTAGTTGCTATGTATTCTTTTTTCATAAAATGTTTCAAATTGCCAATAATACTTTAATAACAGCAAGCAGTTTTGCCTTTTCTGCCTGAGGGAAACAGCTTTACAACAAAATTTCATTGATTCTCCAGTTATTTATCTGTTAAAATAAAAGCCAAAGTATCAGCCTCCTAAGAGGAAGACTGGAGAAGCCACATTATTTCTTCCAATTAAAGAGATAGAACTTATAAAATGGAAAGTGGCTGTGTGATCATCAGATAAAGTCCTAGATTCAGAGGTGAGACCAGGGTTGGGACTTGGTTTTCTTGAGTGCAGCTCAGTCATTGCAAAATGCACTGTTATTACTGTCACCTTTCTTTGATACTCTGCCCAGTATGTGTTCGATAAAGATTAACTATTCAAAGAGCCTATGAGACAGTGCATATCTAGTACAGAGGGAGATGGACCAGAAGTCAAGGGCCCTGGCTTCTCTCAGCTCCTCACGAGCTCACCCTGTGACCTTGGATAAGTCACCCAACCTCCCCAGTGCTTCTGGGTCATCTGTCAAATAAAGACTTACCAGCCTAGAGAGGTGGGAGGCACCTTTAGAGTTTATAATGTAATTTATTTGTCTTCCATCTCATGTAATGATTACAACAAACCTTGAAGTAACTAAGGTGGGTGTCATTACTTCCTTGCAGTTAAGGAAGTACCTGGGGTTATATGATTAGTAGTAATGACACTCCGTTCTATTCCTCGTCCTAACAATACAAAACCTCTGCCCAGGTGTACATGAACCAGTCTCTTGGTCCTTGAGAAATGCGTGCTCAAAGCACAGGCGATGTCTTTGACTCCTCAAGTTGGAGCTCTGAATGATTTCATGTAGCAATATGGCTACAGGTGGTTTTTCAGGACTGGATATTTTTTTTTTTTAAAGATTTTATTTATTTATCTGAGAGAGAGAGAATGAGAGAGAGAACACGAGAGGCGGGGAGGGTCAGAGGCAGAAGCAGACTCCCTGCTGAGCAGGGAACCCGATGTGGGACTCCATCCTGGGACTCCAGGATCATGAGCTGAGCCGAAGGCAGTCGCTTAACCAACTGAGCCACCTGGGCGCCCCAGGACTGGATATTGTAAGCACTACATTTGAGGATTATTGTGGGCTATGTAGATACTTGTGGGTTGACCTAAATTCCCAATCACCTCTTACGGCATTGTTTCATGAAAAAGGTGTTTTGAGCTCCATACAACCTGTATGTAAATGAGCTTTTGAAATACAGAGCATTCTATAGTTGGGCATTCTTTTTAAATGTTTATCATTTTTATTTTGTGACTTATTTGAAATCGTAATATGGTATCACTAAGAAGTCAGAATATTTTACCTGAAAACGATAGTTTTAAAGTATATTATTTTAAATAGTATTTCCTCCAAAGTAAATAACTTTACTTCATTATTTTATTATGTAGAGAGAGCCTCCCACTCCGCTCCCTCAGAAGGCAGATTTAATTGTATAATAGAAGTGAATGGGGGAAAAATTCTTATCAGAGATTGCCTATATAAAAATAAAATTTCATTGTACTCCATCGTCTTTTAAGTAAATTTTACTTGTATTTACAAGTGGCTGTACAATCTGTGGTGTGTCCTGTGTGACTCTGTATAAAACTACACACTATTTCTAGAGAAGATAACTAAAGGCAGATAGCTGCCTCGATTTAAGCATATCCCATATAGAGAATGAAAGTATAAAGCTTCCCATAGGAAAGATTTTAAGTTGCCTTGTTCTTTCTGGTCATGCACATTTAATATCTGTCTTTGTTGTTCTCTTTAAAACTATTCAGTTACACCATACTTTCTTATATTCCGGGGGGAAAAAATATTTCCGTAACTCTCCCTTGAATTATGTGACAATGCCTATTTTTCATTTTGATTCTTTAGAACTTCTTAAGTCTTTCATGAACAGAAAGATCACATACTAATACATCATTCTTATTTTCTTTTCTTACTCCATTAGAAGCCTATTCTGCCCGTTACGGTTTCGTGTCATTGTATGAAGCTGTGTATGTCTTGGTGATTGTGTCAATAGCCCTTAAAGCATAGGGTCTGAGCGTGGGAAGGCTCCCTCCTGCTTGAGGCCATTTATTGGCTCGTTCCAGAATTTAATAATATGAAGACTTGACTGTTGTGAATTCCTTTGGTTAAGCTAAGCTTTTGTAGAATTAAATGTACTATTATTGATTTCCTTTTGCTAAATTGATGTAATTATTTTGCTTTGACAAATTCAGGACCTTTTAATGCCTATCTTGTCACCAATCTTATAGTTGTGTATTTTTTCCCAACATAACAATGCACAGTTTCAAGAGCACTGAATTTTCAAAAGTATGTGAAATTTCTTTTTATAAGGTAGCAATAGAAAAAATAATATCCTTTAATTGCAAAAGGAGAATTTTGAGTGTGAGCTAGTGAACATTGAAGCCAGAACTGGAATTTGTTTCCAGTCGATTTACATTTGAGTAAAATTTATCCTTCTTTCACTTATGTGTCAAACAATTTATTCAAGACTCTGATGAATTTTAAATATATATTTATAAACCAAAGGATTTTTAAAGGTACCAAAATTAAATATTTAATAAATGTGGAGGTGTTTAGATATGGTACTCTTCTTTGTAATTCTATGACAATAAAGGAGAGAAGATGAAAGGATCATTCATCTTCTTGAGGTAATAGATTCTGTAGGTTATATATGGTATTTCTTTCCCAACTGTACATGAAAAAATTGTGGCTCCCCAAACACAATAGGCTATTTCAACAAACAATAAGTACAACTGTGCATTCACGTACGTAAATGGTCAATAAGTTATATTACACGGACATGCAAATATAAATTTCTATGTCAGTAATTTCATTGCAAGCAATAAACCATTTTCTTCACTGAAAGACATGAGTTCAGGCTGGTTTTTAAAATCATGTGAGGAAGAACCTGACAATTCAGAGGAAAGTGCTGTAGGAAGATACTTTAGCCTGTTCCCTAGTGGCTTCACATTTTTGTCTTCTGTGAAGTTGAGAAAATGAACAAATGTCTGGTATTCCATGTACTGATGCAGTCATTCTGATGAGTCATCAGATTTCACAATTAATTTCAAGAAGTCATCCAACCTCCTTTTCCATGAGAGTTCCGACTACCACTAGTCACACATCATTCTACAGAATTAATAGTGAGGCCCTACTAATGACAACTTTAAACTGGACTTGGAGCATCGTTCACCAAGTATTCCCAGGGAGATTCTTTTCTCTGCAACACATCAATGTGCCTGGCTTGTGAGTTTCTTGAAAGTTGGGTACCTGACTTAACCACAATATAAACTATGTTTTCACAAGTTTATTGAGGACTGTATTGTATGGGAATGACTCAGAGCCTCCCTGACATCGAGATGGATGATGTCTTTTAGGCCTGGCCCTGACTTTTTGGAGATGCAATATGAGAGGATGTGTTCCTTAAGGAGCCATTCCATTCGTTAGCCTGTTTTTTTTTTTTCCCCCTGAACCCCCCAGGTTCAGTTTATTGTACCCAAACATTATTAGTCTTTTGGTGACAAACATGGTAAGAATACAAAATTAAATGCTTTCAACTTAGATGAAGTGGCTTCTGGTGTAACTCAGATTACAACTGGCCTAGAGCTCTACGGTGTTGCTCATGTGCCTTATTTGCACCTGTGTGCTGGAGACAATTCACACCAGCGCCCAGGAGCTGACGGTGCACAGCTCTTTCCAATTAGACTTTCAAAGACGTCAACCGTGGTAGTCTGAAATCAGCCATGTTGGGAGTCTTTACACCAAGGAAATTGGCACACTGGAAGTCCTCCTCTCCACTCCCCAAGAACCAGTTATTAATAATACATTTACCAACACACTACTGCTTTAAAACCAAGAGGTACTAACTTCGTAGTTTTGAGATTTTAAACAGTATCTACCGAGGATTGATCACAAAGGAAATATCAAATAAGGCTTTTGACTTTAAGAAATCACAGGGTTAGCCAAACTACCTCCCTCCACTCAAGCATTTATCAAACTTACCTCCTTTCAAACTTGAAAATGAACAAGAGAATTTAAGCCTGGGTTAGAATAGACAAATATGTTTTAAGATGTATTTTTAAATGTTGGTTTCATTTAATAGATCCTTCTGGGTGTAGGTCTTTTCTCCAGTTTGGAGAAAGATGGTTATGTTTACTAAGGAAGATTCCTTGGGACTGCTAATCTTGCCTGGCACGCAAGAGAAGTGGACCAATCACCGACAAGATGCGTTCCTTTCCCTTTTTTCCCCTCTTTTCTTTTGTTTTATTTTTAAGATAACACTTGTCCTTTGGAAAACTACTTACTCAAAGATGTCTTGGGCAGAAAAAAAAATGTTTTACTTCACTATTTATTGGATCTCTTTGAAGCAATGTACTTTTTTCCTAAGGCTAACCATAGAGGAGGGCTAGCATCATACAAAAAAGTCATGTCTTGAATAAAAGTATATAGTTTTCATTAGAAAGATGAGAAAGAGCACCTTTATTGACCAGTGTGTCACTTAAATATGTTTTGAGGGTAGATTTGTAGAATCATTTCCGACACGAATACAACCGCTATCAAATATATTCTTAACAATGACTTAAAATAGAATGAATTATAAATGGGAAAATTTCTAGGAATGATAATCTACTTACTGATATAATTAATAGATAATTATTTCAAGTCAAGTGTTAGTTAGCCAAGATTCGTTTCTGGTATTCAGATATAGTTGTTATCAAGACTGAAAATGTTAACTTTCTTCCCACAGTATTCTAAATTATATTTAAAATCCTTTAATCCCTTGGGGCAGGAGGGGTAATCTTGAGCTCCTGGCTTCTCATTTACATTTTTCTTTTCTAGCTGTGTCTATAAGACATATCTTTACACTCAGTGCATTTTACAAAGCAGGTGTTCTTTCCCTATGTAGCATATATTGGAGAAATGACTAGAACAAATTTAATATAGAACACATTAAGAAATCAGAAAGGGGATCATGCTTGTGGCTAGGGATAACCTTTTTTGTTTTAGCTGGAAGACAAAAACAAAAGCAGGCAAGTCAATTAATTTTAAAAAATAGTGTCTTCCTTTGGACTTGGGAGATGCTTCTCTGTTTTCATTGCTCTCAGGAGAACTTCTGTCTTCTGGATGACCTTAAGTGTAGCCACATTAACGCTGCTGCCATGTCCCTAATTCAGCCTCAGCTGTGATGTGAGGTGATGCTTAGTCATAAGACGCTGCCGGTCATCTCTTACACCAGGCATCCCACTAACCCTGACAGCTCCCTTTTGGTGGGCACTACATATATGCCAGACCTGTGTAGAGAGCCTTACATACATTGTCCCGTGAGGTTGGCAACATCATAATTCTCATTTTTCAGATGTTGAAACGAAGGGTTTGGGAGGTTAACTTGCCTTAGGTCTCACAGTTAGCAGCTGTAGAGCCAAAACTCACCTGCAAAGGGGCCTGATATCACTGCCCACCCCAGAAGGTTGTTGGGAACATTGAAAGAATTAGCCAATGGAAACTGCCCGTAACGGGGCCTGCAACAAAAACAAGCACTGGGTAAGTCTCAGCTATCATCACCATCATCATCACTATTATCATTAAAACTAGGTCAATTTGGAAAAAAATACTAGGTCAGTTTGATCCCTAATTCGGTGCTATTAAGGCCCACCCAAAATGCCAGGTGAATAGGAGTACCCTTCACTCACGTGGCTGTGGTCTACTTAGAGGATCCCATCGTGAGGCAACTGGTGATAAACGGTGCAGATTTTTACGGCGTTGGTCCTACCTTGCTAGTTTAGAAACACCTTCTCTCGCTCTAAGGTGGAATGTTTTTGACTATTTTCAGGTCTGAGGTTTTTTTCTTGAAACTGGAATTAAATCAGGTAGGAAAGAAATCCTAAGGAGTACGTGCTACAGCTGGGGTGTTTCCTCAGCAAACTTAGGTATAATTTTAAATGGCACCTAAGAAAAGAAAGCATTGCTCCATTCCTTTTTTCCTTACATGCAACTGAAGTTTCACACCAGATCAGGTGACAAAAGGAGAAAGGAATTGCTGACATCTGAGAGCTGTTTTGAAGGTGTGACCTCTAGGAAAAGGTCTCGTGCATTGCAATTCCCAGATTTCCTGTTCAGATTTTTAAAATAGCAACTCTTGAACTCAAACAGGACAATCACAGAATAGCCTTCCCTCGATGGCACTCACCACAGAGACCCCAAGAAGGCTGTCGTGAAGCAAGACCCACATGGTTAAAAATGCCTGAGGACTGTTGCGTTTGTGTTTATTTTCAGAACGCCTTTTTGAAGTACATACGCACTCCTAGATTCTATCCTTTCTTTCTAGTCTCCCGTACCCAAAGAAAACAAATCTACCCCCTAAAATGTACAGGATATCGATGCTTTGTAATGCATTGTCTAAGTGAAAAAAAAAGGAAAATCTGATTTTGAAAGCGTTAGGTGAGAATTAGACTGGTTTTTGATATGCCGATGAAGCAGGGGAGAACAGGTTTTTGGGGGAGAAGCAATTAATCTTTTAAAAAAAATTTTTTATTCATTTGGGTTCCTTCGTGTTGCTGATAATATGTGAAATTTAGGAATAAAGTAATGAATATTTCATGGAAGAATTTTTCTTTGGAGGAAGGGAAGTATTTCATTGATTTTTTTTTTTTTTTTTATGTATGAAAATGTGTTACCTACCCGCAAACTTTGTGTTATTGACTTAAAAAACGAATTTTCTTGAATGGATAGAGTTTTGTGGCAGTGACACTAGGATATGGCTTGTAAATGAGGGGGGGAAAAAGCATTTTCTTTATATGAAGGTTATGTTGTTTTTGTTTAAATTAGAAATTAATCATTTAGGGTTTATTTTGCCACATCAATTTTGATGTTGTACTGAGAAAGCTGTAGTTATAATGTCTCTCTTCCATTTCTGCACTCTCATTATCTAGTTCTCAGAGAACAGTTTTCTCAAATAACCAGGCAACTAATGGGGGCACTATCCAGGGAGGCAGGATGGAGGATTATGATGAGCCTCACATGAATGCTTGCAATGTTATCTTCAAAAGAGCATATCCATGAAGTTGTACTTTGTGTTAAAGGCCTTGGCTTGACACATGTAAACACTTAAGAAATGCCCCAGTTTGCCTTGGCATTGAGGAACTTCAAGAAATGGAAGTAGCCCAGGCCTCTGCAAGACAGGGTTTTGTTGATTTGCTCTTGCGTGTAATGTAGTGATGCAGGCCGAGGGAAGTCTCCTGGCCCTGGAAAAGCATCTAGGCCCCAGAGGGTCTCAACCTTGGCTGCACATGGGATTATCTGGAGCTCAAAGTATTACTGATTCCTGGTCCCAGCCCCTGGGACTGTGATCTCCTGGGTCTGCCATGTAGCCTGGGTACTGGGATTTTTGCTTCTCAGAGTGGGTTCTGTGGATGGGCAGCAGTTGCATTACCTGGGAGGCTGTTGTGAATGCAGAGTCTCAGGCCCCACCCAGCACAACTGGGTCAGAGACTGCATTGCAACAAGAGCCCCGAGGATGTACATTCAAGTCACTGGATAGTGTCTAGAATAGGTTTTAAAAACAGGTTTTGGGTGGAATGAGGATAAGCTTGATTTGGACTTGCTGAATTGGAGGTAAGGGCAAATATCCATGTAGAAATATACTGAACATAGTTGGGGATAGCCACCTGGGAGGTCCTGGTTATTACTGCATACCTGCCTTTGGAATCTCTTGACCTGGAATGTTCTCATTCTTTCTACTTTCCCTGAAACACTTGAAGGAAATGGACGATGGCTGTCCAGGGCCCTTCTCTAACTTAACCAGGGAGAAAATAAGAAGGATGTTTCCACTTTCATAAGACCTTAGTGAGAGGTGACAGTATAATGGATGGTATCAGGAGGAACTGGTTTGATTTCATCTATTCCTATTTAATTTCTATCGTGTCTTCTCCAATCACATGATAACTTATATGTCAGTGTGCGATGTGGGGAGGAAAAAGACATCAAACATTACGGAATGACTTTCTTTTCTGGAGCCACTTCCATTGACTCTTATTATACAAACCCTCACTGAGCCAGGGAGCCCAAGAATTACTGATCTAAGACCTTTTGGAGACCACCTGCTTTGACATCTATTTCAATGCTAGCAGGAAATTTCAGAAACAACCAATTTAACTGAGCCCAAATGATGTGCTCACTGAGGTTTGGTAAAACGCCTACAGTTGAGACCTAGAAAGTAAATTCAGTCTTGCCTCTGAGTCACTTGTGACTTTTAACAGATTTTGAGAACTGACAGAATTGCCAAGAAAGCAAATAGTTTTATTCATATGACTATACAGTTATTCTCAATTACCAAATTCAATTGATGAACGCCACAATTATTTTGTAATATAAAGGGCAACCTGAGAAAAGAGATTTTTTTTTTTTTTTGGTGGGGGAAAGTGACCATAAATTATTAAAACATGAAGGATACAGCAAAGATACACAGTGATTAAAAACATATATATCAGGAAAATCAATACCACCTTTCAGAGTGCTTTTCAAATGTAAGGATTTTGTAGGCTAATAGAAGTCTTTGGAACACATACCTGGATTTGACAGCAATAGGCAGTCTGTGTGTTCTTTAGGATGAATTATGGCATGGGTTTGGTTTCCCATACTTTCTCTAAATGATATGCTACTACAGCGAACAGCCCAATCATTTCTTTTTAACACTTAGTTATTTTTTGGAGGATGGCTTCCCTTGTTCCTCCTTCGCTAGGCGCTCTCCCGCATCCCCACCCCCAAAGGCTTTCAGGAGATTAGGCAACCCAAAGAAACTGCCAATGATAGTGTTTTGCTAATTCTATAAATATTTCTGTAAACTTGACTAGAGTGAGGCATAATTTCAGCAATTGGAGTAATGGGCTTTCCTGCTGCTGTGTGCATCCAGATTGCAAGCGCTCCGCCTTCCTGAGTAATTACTCCCACGGTTGCTGCCTCGCGACACGGTCATTAGGCTTCTCTACACTAGGTGTGAGGTTGTAGGGAACATAACGTAAACATCGCCACTCTGAAATTAGCTGCCCCCAAGTTCAGCAGTGAAGATAGCAAGAATAAGTTTCCTTCTAGAACCCGGAGTATTGATTTGTTGGTAAACCCAGGTGGGGTTTGTTTGTTGATACACTGTTATTCTGCTGATCCCCAGGTGATGTTTATACAATGAAAGGTTAAATCCCACAGGCCTCTTTAAAAATTTAGTTCCCATATTTGCAGGTCTTCTCAGAGAAAGGGCCCCAAACAGTGGTTTGCCTGTTTGAAATATCAAGTACTCAGGAAGTACCTAAGGAATAGAACTTTGTAATAAAATAATTTTTTTTAAATTAAATGTTCTGAATTCCTGTGTGCAGCCTTGTTCATTGGGCATGTTCAGCTCATGACTACTGGTCTCGCTTGCCTTGCTCTCCTCACTTTCTTCCCTGCCTCATCCCTCCAGACGCTGTACCTTTCAATTATCCTACTCCAATTTGATATCTCTGTGACTTCAGCTTAAAAGCTTCTAGTTGTTTCTTTTTTTTTTTTTAATTTTATTTATTTATTCATGAGAGACAGAGAGAGAGAGAGAGAGAGAGAGAGGCAGAGGGAGAAGCAGGCTCCCAAGGAGCAGGGAGCCCGATGCGGGACTCAATCCCAGGACCCTGGGATCATGACCTGAGCCGAAGGCAGACGCTTAACCATCTGAGCCACCCAGGCGCCCGAAAGCTTCTAGTTGTTTCTGAAGCATGTGTAGCAAAGTCTGTGTCTCGAGCCTGACCCAGGTTTGGAATTGACTGTGTGTCAGACCGGATGGCAGCTCCTCTGTGAGGTGTGGGCATGAGCATGTGTGTGTGTGAGTTATCTTGTCCTTTTAGACCCTAGGTTTCAAGAGGTCAGGAAAGGTAGTACCTCTACTTTAATTAACACCCTATTTTAGCACCTGATAGGGGTCATTAACACACTAACGGTTAGATATTAGAGTTTATCTGCTTTCTATCAGAATTTCGCTTCCCACAGGATACTGTATTTCTTTCATGCTAATCTATATTTTAATGGCCTCTAAATTGTCAATTGAGAGGGTAATTAGTTCTAATTTGGTGTTAATGCTATGAACATAGAGTAAGAAACTAATTGACATGGCATGCTACCAGCTAGAATTTTATGAACTAAAACTTCTTATCTCTTGCACGACGGTGAGTGATATCATTATGGAGGTGCCATTTAGGACCAAAGTCCTCTTTGCCACTTAGGACGAAGGACGGCTTTGCCTCAGGGTGTTCTGCACCTCGTGAACGGTGGATGCAGAACTGATGGCTTGTTGACGGCCCGGCCGCTTTGATTTTCCCAGTCCAACAGTGCTCCCTTAAACCTACTTTAGGGGAAATTGGTCTAAAAACCTAGATGCATATTTGGTTAGCACATTTTTGTTTTCAATTGCATTTGTTTTTCCGACCAGATACAAGGAAGTCCTTGGAGACTGCAGGATACACAAAACGAGAGAATAGCCATTCCCTGCATCTAACAAATCTAGAGTCTAATAGAAATAGCAATATGGGGTGCCCGGGTGGCTCAGTCGGTTAAGCGTCTGCCTTCAGCTCAGGTCGTGATCCCAGGGTCCTGGGATGGAGCCCCACATCGGGCTCCCTGCTCAGCTGGAATCCTGCTTCTCTCTCTCTCCCTCTGCTGCTCCCCCTGCTTGTGCACTCTCTCTCTCTGTCAGATAAATAAATAAAATCTTTTTTAAAAAGTTAAAAAAGAAATAGCAATACATTCACCAAGCAGGACTTAATATTTTATCTCAGACCTCCAATGTGTATGACTTCATTTGATTTTCACAATAATTGAGGTCAGGGCAGGTATTATTATACCCATTTCATAGTTGAAAGTACCAAGGTTCAGGGAATTTACATAACTTCTCTGTGATTATGTGGCTGTTTAAGAGGTAGAGGCAAGCCAAGGAGTTGAATCTTCTGACTCCCGCTCCCAGAGCCTTCCCTGATCACATCCTACTTCTCTGGTCTGTTTATTTCTATAATCTTATTATGTGATTCTAAGCAATTGCTGTTCCCTTAAAAGTTCAGAAAATTTATGTAATCATAACCCAGCTAAGGCACCACCTTTTTACCTTCCCACTCCCTGACCCTCGACAAATGCTGCTTAACTCTTAATGTCCTAGTCGGAGCTCAGGAAAACTATCTTGGAAAAAGAGGCGAAAAGGAGGGAAAGCAAAAAGAATCAGATTTGAGGAGTTCTTTTTTGTTTCCTTTAGAGAACACTTCAACCGCTGCCCTAAGATGTCAGTGCTAAGTTTAACCCAGAGTAGTTTTTCAAAGGGGAAGCCTGTCAGTCACTCTGGCTGCTC